CAACTATCGATCCCACTTATGATATTTTTCTTGGTAGAATATGACTTGACTTAGAGTGATCAACAAGGTGATGAAATACTACAATAAAGAGGTTTTACTGCATTTATAGCCAAGAGATTCATGTATATTGAACAGTACAAACACCCAAAAGATTCTACTATACTTGTGAAGCTGCCTCTGTCATTAATCTGCTTCAACGACGTCTTCCGTAGTATCGTGTTTTCCTTCAAGTACTCAAAGACTTCAGCAATTGCAAACCAGATGCGGAGGATTTAAATATGTAACTAATCCTATATGATTATTTAAAGATTAAATATATCACTCAAGGGTAGATTATTCGTCAATGGCAGTAGAGTAGAGTAGAATTCTTGAGAAACCACATCCAACGAAGCGAATTCTAGACTAGATAGACTTAAACGTGAAGATTGAAGGCTATAGCAATTCGCGATTAGCAAGTATCAAGATTCAACGTCAATAGCTAAAAAACTAGCTAAGACTTATTTATGAAAATTGTTAATCATCACAAAGAAATGGTCAAATTGGGGTTTTGTTGAGATGAGAAGAATACCTCAATTACAAATGTATTTTTTGAGTTTCAAGTATTCTCTCATAGAGAGATTGAACTTAGAAGACATTCTCTCTTGGGATTCAAATTTATTCATTTTCATTCAAGAATTTTTTCTGTCTATTATAGCTTTTATGTTTATAGCATAAATGGAAAACTAACATTGTTTAACGATACCATAAACGAGCAGGTAGCGTGACTTGTAAACGGGAAAAAAATTAACAAATTATAACAAAAGCTCGACTTTGAAGATCTGCTGTTGAAGTGTCGGGTCTCATCTCAAATCCGACATCTCTAGCCGAGGGGTACTGATCCATAGGCGCTTTTGTGCCCGGTTAGCGTTGAAGCTGAATGTAACTTCTAGTCCTTCTTTAGTATTTTCTTCACAAATCACCACACTTCAGAAAAGAGTATTGAGCAAGAATTTAGACCTGCTGTTTAATTCCTAGAGACAAGATCTTGTCCTCAGTATGCTGACGGGAGACCTTGTGTACTTGTAGTGAACCTTGAAGATACGCTAGGAAATCTTGTGGATATTTACTCAGGGGGAGATTTGATTCCCATGCTTATTTCCTATCTTACTGGATTTTTCCTCCAAGAGCAGGTTTTGGATTGGCCTGATCTGTAGTGAGGTATGTAGCCTTTGGTTCCATATATTAGTAATAGGTGCATATCTATCAAGAGTCCACTTCTTGAGTTATCTTGACTACGTACTCACAAAACTTTCATGTCAAGTTAAAGCCGGTCATCGCGTGTGTTTGAGCTTTAAAGCTGGAAAGAGCACACCTGTCGATGACTCATCCTGATATCTTTGTATGACCAAGTGCAGCGACTATGTGAAGGAGATCAGAAGTAGAGCCAGAGTGGAAGGCTCTTTTGCTTCCTAACACAGAGATAAATGCACAATTGGGAGCACCCTCTGCATTAGCCGTCGCTCTTGCAGAGATGGCATCTGTCACATCCACGGGATTTGTTGTATCGCGTATACCCAACAGATAGCTCGTCTGACAGTTAAGAATAAGTTCCTTCAACGAACGAGATATGAGGAGAACTTTAGCGAATGCTATCAGCATGGATTTTCAACGGTGTGTCTTCTCTGTCGGAAATTCGTTGTGACATCGAGGAATCAAGATTTGTTTATGAAGACGTCAATGGGGAGAGTGATTGATCGATAGATTACGATGCCCAAACAGTGCTTGATCTTCAACTCTATCATGCTGATTCGCCGACTCGGACATGAGAGCATGGTGTTGAGAACTAAGCGAGACCAATAATCTTCAAACGATGTTTTAAAAGAGATGATTTTAAAGAGCATTATCAAATAAGATGGACGTGATGATCATTTGCTCTAAGAAAGTCAAGTCAAAAGCAAATTGAAGTGTACATATCTCTGCAAGATGTTGAGACCTAAATCCTCCACCTTCAATAAAAACAACTAAAAGATAAAAATAAATTATGAGTATTGTTAAGTTACAATTGCAACTTTTAATTTTGAAATAAGTGATTGAATAAGATGATTGTATTTTGTTGTCCAAGTTTCTTGAGCAACAATTCAATCACATAAAATTCTCAAACAGATTATATACTTACTTAAAACTTATGAACATAAAGATGAAAGATTTTGGTACAAAAGTTGAACACCACATTGCAAATTTTATCATTAATTTTTAAAATATTGAAGAGTAAATAAGTTATATAAGTAATTTGATTAATGTTTAAATTTCATTACGTACATTTTATCAATCAATTACAATAATTTTATCAATTTTTTTTATTGATAAATTACAATTAAAAATGATGATATAATATTTTTTATTTGACACTATATTGAATGTGATTCAAAATTAATCATATTCAAAAAATGACAAAAATGTCAAATATTTTAGATCTATAGATTAATCCAAGTTCCAAAAAAAATTTCGTAGAAACAAGTATGATTAAAAACATTGCAAAAATCATCACATTAATAAATATTGTTATGTGAAAATCAAAATTATTGATTTTTACTATAGCCAATGTGCTTCAAGAGTTTGATCCAAGTAGTATGACTTGCTTGACATTGGATTATGATGCCAAAAATATATTTTATGTAACTCACCAGAGAATGTTGATTATGCAAGCACCTTGAGTTATGTTCGAATTTATAAAAAAAAAATTAATTTAAATGAAAATTATATTTAATATGAGAAAAAATCTTATCTTATGCAAGCACATTAAATTTTGTTTAATCTAATCAAAAATATATTGAATTTAAATAAGATTTATATTTAATATGAAAAACAATCTTATCTTTTTCAAATATTAGATTCAAAAAATATTGAATGAAACTCTAGAAAAGAGTGTTGCAAGGGAGAATAGATGATAAGATATTCTTAAGAATATCTTATCACATAATCATAAAAAATTTATACATGCTAAGGATGAATATCATTTGTGGTGAAATCAAATATATGACATCTTGAATTAAAATGATTCTTGTATAGCATTCTAAACTAAGTACACTTAAATGATAGTTATGTGTTACTAGTTGATGATAAAAGTTTGTTTCTTTACATGGATAAACTTGTCTTAGAATTAAATGAACATTACGTTCAAGTATCATAAGTTTATTTTTGGTATTAAAACTCACAAGTTTGTTTAAAATTATTTCACTATATACAAAATGCCTTCAGAAACAATTTTTTTTAATTTTTATTTTAAAAATATTACACTGGTATACTTATTGATAAATATACCAGTGTAATACTCAAAATTCATGTAAACCTATATTTTTCATTAACAATATTATTTTAAATTTTAAAAATTGAAATGTCACGGTTTACACACAAAAACATATATCTATATTCGTATAAAAATGGGGATTACAAAAACAATGAATCACTTGTAACGATTTATATTTTGAAAAATAATATTTAGAATACTTTCATCTCTTGTATTTTACATTTTCATCTTTCTTATGATATATTATTATTATTATTCATGAATATTTTTTTAATCAATTTAGTAAGTATAATTTGATGATATAAAAGAAAATCTACAAAATTATTTCTATCAAACTCAAATTATTTCATGATAATTAAGTTTTGTAAAATTTATCAAAAACTATTTTATATCGCTCATTGAATAATGATCTTTATAAGATTTATCAAAATATATTGACTTCTCCATGAAAGTATAATTTTTTCAATGATAATTTTATTTACAAATCATTGGATATAGTTGGAGAAATTTGCTTCATGAGATACCTTGGAAACTCAAACCTCTTGAAGGGACCCAAGTTAGGTCACTTTAATTGAAACCTGTCGGGTCACCCAACAGGTTTCAATTTACCCCATGGACCCCATTCGAGGGCCACGTCAGCCATGTTCTAATAACCTACTGATTTGCTCTATAAAGTGGGAGCGTCCACCACTGTAGGGCCAGGGTATTTTGGCGACTCCTTCGCACTGCTAACGAGTGGCCATGTCTATGAAAACCGGCCGTGAGTTCTTGGACATGGCTGCGAACTTCGTAGCCAAGAGAAAGACGAGCACCATGAGTTTTACCGTGATTTCATCTTTCTATTCGAAATAACCCCGCATAGTACTGGAACATCACTAACGGTGGGGTTGCAGGCCGTCGATGGGGCCCTGTTGGGTCCCATCAAGAGTTTTGAGTTTCACCGGGTCCCGTGAAGCAAATTTCTCCATATAGTCGGGAAGCTAGAATATCATGAAATGTACACATGTTTTAGAAACATGTTCAAATTTGAACATTTTCATATGTATATACCTAAATCTATATAATTGATATTCTAGAAGGAAAACATGAAAAATAAGGTTCTTTCTTATTATTTTATTTATTTTATTTTCCAAAAATTGTAGTTTATAACAATATACTCAAACCGTCACATTTCAAATCTGGCATGTATTGAACACAATACCAGAGTTTAGTCCATGCAAAATGTTCTAATTAAGGTAATACCTCAATCTTCTTATCTTTCGTGTTAACATGGTCAAAAATAATCTACACTCCAAATGTCTTATCGTGATCTTACTCCGAGTAGAAATCAAATCTGATAATCCTGTATGCACTTAAAGTTTCAAGCAAAATGAAAATAGAACCATGATTCAATCCACATCTTAACCGCAACTTCAGTTGCATACTTTATATTACAGTATTCCTTCAACAAAATCTCATTTTAGTAAAGTCTCTAAACCCTAAACTTCTCGTAAACTCTGTTGATAAAACTAGGCCTCTCCCCATCACATTCCTACACTCCTCACGTGTGGCCAACAAGAAAAGCCAAAATCGATGAAAATGCTCTTGCCACAATGCCACGAAGAACTAAGAAGCACTACAACAGTCATAAGGGCCAGGATTTCAGCTATGCATCCGTTAAATGATCAAATGATTCAACAGTCCAGATATATTCTCTGGGAGTGGACAGAAGTGGTACATTCTCTGCTATCATGCAGATGGCGGTGAGACACATTCCTCTGTAGATAGCAGGTACTCCATTTTGCAAGTTGGACAGAAGGGAAGCTGCATGGAGGAGCTCAGGAGCACTTGTGGATACCTAGTTGTGTGTTTCTTAGCTAAACATGCAAGGAAAGAACACGATTCTCGCTCAAGGTTGTGCTCGACCTTACAAGAAAGCTCGTTGATCTCTCACACAGACAGTCCTAGGCAAATAAACGCACGAGCAATATTTAAAACGGATTTTGAAGGCTCGAAGAATCTTTCAAGAGATACAAGAGAATACCGACATTGCAAACATATGAAACCTTGCTAAGTTTGAACACCAATTTTGCCGATAGATCGGAAGAATCAATCATAGAATAAGGAAAATGTGTCCTATACATGACCTGCTATTTCTAGTCTCTGCTTCTGCTACCATTGGGATCCATCGGGGAATTTATCCAAAGCTTTGGTATTCCCCATGACGTAATAATCTACAATTGCCAGCATACGTTCGTACTTATCAGGATGATAGTTGACATGTATGGTGACAGGTTTGTGGTCTGCAAAATTTTGGGGATCCTTGCGGATGGTCTTGAAAAGAACCTTGCTGTTCAAAAACTGATAGTAGTCCATCACCCTACGAGACGCATGAAGCCCTTCATAGCCCGGATGAGATGGATAAAATAGCTCCTCATTAAAGACGGCCTGATCCCACGCTTTCTCCTTTGACAGTCTGTAGGTAACTCGGTCCAAGAGCTCGATGGATGCAACGGTGGGACGAATGAAAAAAAGACCAGAGTTGAAAACCCAGATCCGCATAGTGTGGGCATACCTTGCCCAGCCCATGGACTTGTCGTCCGACACATCGTCATAGCCGTAGGCTGTAATGTTGTCGAAGCCATCAGACATGCTCTCCACATCACAGTCCCGGTACAAGTGCTTGAATGGATCTTGCAGATACACAATATCCACATCTGAAAGCAGCACGCTGTAACCCAGCACGAGAAACTCTCTCAAAAGGTGGAACTTCAGACCAGAGACGGCATGATTGTCACCGGTGCCCGCTTGAGCGGATGAGATCGTCGCGTCTCGTCTGTACACGGGGACGCCATTCTCCTTGCAGAATTCTGCAGTTGCGTCGTCCAGAGCAATGACGAGAAAATTGGTCACACCGGATCGCTTGATGCTGTCGAACCAAACCTTGAGCATTTGCAGCACGTTCTTGTTAGAAACACCCACGATGAGCTCCCTGTTGATGGCCACTCCCTTCAAGAGCTTGGCCAGGTCCGGGTTCACTTCTTCGTCGGGTTCTACCGTGGGATGCGTTCGCAAGCTCTTCACAGTCCCGACAGCCCCGGCTTTCACCGGTGGAACCAGCGTGAGAACTTGTTGGCGGGCAGCATTTCTCTCGTTGGATAACTCACGGATTTGCTTCTTCATGTCAATGTGCTTCTTCAATAACCGTTCATTCTCTTTCTTTAGGACTATAAGCTCCTCCTGGATCTTCGAGTACTTGAAGTCGTCGGCCTGCACACGAAATGGTCCATCCAAAATAGTTTCAAATTTATGATAACATTTTATCTACCAATTCAAAAAGTCGTCCACTCAAGAAGCCCACGAGGCGCACTCTCAGTATGCATTTTCCTCAGGTGTCGTCGAACACTGTACGAGAAAAATCTTCGATAATTCAAACTCAAAGTTAAAGCAACCTAATGCACCATTTAAAAACAGGGCGGAGCAGAGAAGACGCGCAAAGGACTGTCAATGGACCACATTTCGATCAAGTTCAAACTTGAGCTCTAGTTCTTGATTCTTGGTGGGAGCGATACATGCCTCCATCGTCGAGGTATAAATTACAGCGAAATTGGCAATTGGGAAGAGCTTCTAAAACAAATGGGCATGTGGTGAAAGGTTGCGAACAGAACAAGAAATATGTAGGTGCATTTCCTTCCGTCCCACAAAATCAAGAAAGGCAGACAAAGTGGCTCACGGAGTTGATGCCGGACTCACCGTCAGGGCCACCCGGGAGAAACTCGATGCGGGGAGATCGGTGTTGCCACCCGAGCTTTCGAAAGGTTTGGTGGTAGTATCAGCAGGATTCGACTGCAAAAATCCGTGAGGAGACACATAAGCCAGCAAGCTGCCCAAAGTGATGCCGATCACAACGGCAATGGTGATGCGCGACGAGAACACACCGCCACCCCGTTGACCCCAGCTCCCTCCATCTTTCCTCCCCATCTCTTATTCACCGCAGGAGCGCAGAAGCAGCCTCCCCCACCCGTGCGAGCTTCTCAAAAAACACTCATGTATGTCACCAAAACCAAGAACCTCCCTCTCCTCGTCCTCCTCCTCTTCTTCCTCCGCCCCGACCACCCACCATAACCTAACCAGTCCTGCCCTCCTTATCCGTGCCCGCTTGATTTACAAATTCCCGTCTTTCTCCAAACCTCGGCACGTGCAGAAGAAGAATCCGCAAGAACAGCAACTGCAAGTCCGATCAATCAATCAATCTCTCGTGAAGCAGATCATAGAACCAAATCGCCACGATAACAAGCAACGACTAACTACCCGCCCGGCCCTGCCCTGCCCTGCTCTCCTCTGGCTGCCTACCCTGACATTGAGAAATGCCAGTCCGGGAAGAGCAGCAGTATCAGGTATTGAGATCAAAGGGGCAGAGCCAACAGCCGGCAGAGAGCCCACCTTCAGCCAACGAGGAAATTGGCCAATCTTCGAACTGGTCGGTAGATGAATGGATGGGCAATGTGGACGACGCGAAATGCGCCTGCGCCTGGTCCCCAACAGATCACGAGCCTGAGAGCATGTCCGGCTCTTGCCCGCTAGCTCTCGGTCCTCAAAGATACAGAACGTCGATGGCGGTCAAAGCCCCTCGAGCTCGGTCAGTGACCACGATGCACAACGCCGACCCTCTCTCTGCTCCTCCCTTTCCGGGCTGGTCAGTCGAATTCTGGGGTCCCAGTCAAGGAGATGCCGACTATTTTCGCACATCGGGATTTAAAGCAGATTGCGTCCCGGAATATCAAACCTCCATGGATGTTCCGATAACTGGTGAAATCATTAGCCGGATTCCATCGCTCCACATTTATGTACAGTACTGGCAGATTAAATAGTGATTGGTCGGCAAATAGTTCGCGAGAAAGGCTAAGAGCGGTCTGATTATCCTCATAGCGTTTTGACTTTGTATCAGCTAACATAAGGAAGCCTCAAAACTTTTACTTTGATGGAGGTCTGATTCTTTTCCAATTATTGAGAAAACAATTGGAACTGTAGATTGCAAGTGATTTTTGGAAATAATCGTTGATACATCATTCTCATTTCAAGCTTAGAGTAAAGGATCTCCCATTTACAAAAGAACTTTCAATTCAATAACGACAGCCTCTGTTCCAAAATAGAGCAATGGAGAATTTTGTTATATGTAAAATCAAAAAAACATCAGCAGCCAATAGTTAGTGACTTTATATTTTATCCATTTCAGTCTGTTGATCATTGATTTTTGCATTAAATTTCTAATTAAATCTCATGTTACTGCAAAGTGCACATGAATGACTTGTCTGCATTGACTTGACAAAGCAAACGAGCCAACATAGTCACTGAATGATGTAAATTTTCCATTGTGGTGCTACTGGTGCTAGCCCCATTTCAATCGTTTTGGATTCATCACTGTGAGGCCCGGTGAGGTCTCTTCATCCTTTCTGCTGTAATGCCTCGCCTTGCTTCTCGAATTTCTCCCGACGAAACTTTGGAACAATGGTGTCCATTTGCTTTGACTCAAACTTTCTTGTCACTGCAGTGCAGGGAGCTCAGATCATGTCTCGCTGACAGGTTCGTTGACCACGCCTCAATCAAACTCGACGCAGATGGAAAGTGCAGTGGAAGACAGTGTTTGTCATGTTGAGCTCTTCGAAGCTTTTCCACCGATTTGTGCTCGGAATCTTGGAGCGTTCGATGTCCATCTGGTCAACGGAATGAGAGCTGTCAGCTAATCTCCATGGAATCTGCCCTGCTATCTTTGGACTTCTTCCGGATACTACGGCCTCATAAAGATACTCAACTTGTCGAGGATAGAGATGCTACAAGATGTAGTTCAGAACGCCAACGTAGTAAATAACATGGTAGCACTCACACAGCTACTGTACTCCACTGCGGGGCCATAGGACATGGTCGGACTTCGTAAGGCTGCAGCCCATAGCCTATCTCCCAGGCAATTGAAATGAGTCGTAGTTGCTTAAGTTCCGTCCAATCCATTGCTGTGGATACAATCAGAGTGGAGAATGAAACTCAGCTCGTGCAGTGTGACACATCTGGATCTTGCACTTGCGGCGTCCCAGTGAGAGCAAGTCACTGGGATGCGAAACAATATCGTGGTATATCTTCTTTGTCTCCTTCCCCTTTTTTTTCTAGTCCATTATATTTAACTTCGTTGTATTCATCATACATATCTCCTTTTCTACTTAAGGGATACTACTGAGCTGATAACATATCGAGGGCTGCGATTTTTTTCTAGCGGCCGTGAATCAGATGGCCCGTCTTGTTACTTTCAGTAAGCAGACGCCTTATTGTTAGAAGAGAACTTGTTATCCTAGAACCTTAGCTAGTGAAAAATAGACAAAGCTTCATTTTTTTCCTAATCCATCTTCGCGTGATTATTATCTCAATTGGTAGATCCGTCTCAAAACGATATTTGATGGGATGAGATCATCCACCAAATGATTCTGCTTCACAATGTCAATGGCACCCATCCGCAAGCACTGCATCAAAGCCATATCATTGATTCAGTTCACCCTGCATTCTGATTATCTACCTTCTATTTCAGATTTTGAGAAGCTTTGGATCCACCTCTATGAATCGCGTAACACACAATGACGTCTCATTTTTTCTCACTCATTGTACTCGCTTTAGCTTGCAGATGACGCTTTTCTTGAAAAGTACCTACAACAGATACATTGTATCGTTGTCAAGCTCGCCAGCATCGGTAATAGAGTATCCAGCACTGATCTCATGTATCACACGCTAAATGGGTTGTATTCTAACCACGGCCCTTTTGTGCATAATTTTCTATATAAAATGGAGCGCCAACCTCCTCTGTCATATGTGAATCTCGTCAAACGTCTTCAATTCCTCGCTTTACTTCATAGAGGGAAAAACACAATCGGACGAAGAGGCTAACTTCTCCGTGGTCAAAGGCCACAACTTCCATGCCACCTCGAATCATTTCCTTTATCAACTTGTTCTTATGTCACCTCAACATCACGGGCAAAGTGGATTGTGCTACGTTTTGCACGATGTGATTACAATAGAAGGGCAAATCATGTTATGGCTGACTGTGACTTACAAAAATTGAACTCGTCTATTGCACAGTTGCAGATTGAGCATCAAACCTCCGCAGCAACAGACGTGATCAATTACATTTGGTGGAAAAAGGTTATTCTATGATCAATATCGAATCTGCAAAAATTCTTGAAAAATCTCTCTCTGTCAAAGCAAACTTCACATGTGATTTCATCAGTGGCACCTCTTCCATAGTTGATTTTTAATCTTAACTTGGACCCAACAGCCATGTCACAAGAATTTCTTCTACTCTGTTGTCATTTCAAGCATGATGATGATCATCATCAGTGGGAGTGTCACTACCAATGGTAGTCGTCTCTCTGTAGCCAAAAAATACACTTTGCATATTGATTCTAAAAAAGTTGTCAAACATGTTTTGTATATTTCTAAGATAAAAAAAATCTTTTGTCTAAAAGCCGACTTACCATTTCAAGACATTATGGTTTATTTACGCCTACTTCATGTTTTCTTCTAGATGAGAATTTCATCTTATTTTTTACGCAAATATGTACACAAAGAGTGGATTGTATAAGATTAAATCTTTTCATCCTCATTTATCTGAAGTATCCAAGCGACTTTAGGCTCCTCCGACTATCCTGATTTTGTTAGAATTGTTGAAAATACTCCGACTCTCGCAAATGTAGCGCCCCTTGACACAATATCCTTTTTCATCATTGACTACATCATTTGAATTTCCAGAAGACTCACCATATCTCGTCCAAACTCATTGTGGACGGTTTGTGTTACTTGCCTTCTGGCCGTGATCACAAACGCATCACTTGTGTTTTGTCCAAGCAACATCACGTTCATAAGAGTAAGAAGCTTGCCAAACAAAGTACTCGTACTCTCGAGTTTATCCATACCAACATCTACATCTACGATCCAATTGTAGCAGGGGCCGAATTTTAGTATATGCTCACTTTTATTGATGATTACTCACTGTATACATAGAACTACTTTCTTTGGGTTAAGATTGTTACAACTTGCTGTTTTAAACACTTTGTTACTTTAGTAAAGAAACGTGTTTTAGCATAACTATTATCACTACTCGCGAGAATGATTAAGATTTCAAAGTCTTGATCTTGTGTTCAAATCCAGGTGATGAATATTTGTCTGCGTCCTTCAAAGCTTATTGTTTTAATAAAGGCATACACCGCTGGCTCATCATTGCTTGAACTTATCATCAAAATGGAATTTGCAATTGCAAAAACTTTACTTTGATTGAAGATGTTCAATTTTTGTTTACTTTTAGAAGGTTGTAGTATATCTCTAGACTAAGTGCGTTTGAGCTGCAAACTTTGTGCTCAATTGATGTGCTACTCATGCACTTAATTTGAACACATCGTTTGATCATGCCATGCCTCCCAACTTATCTCGTGATCATGTGATTGAAGGTATGAAGGACCTACGTTCACATACCAATAGAAAAGTGCATTAAACTACGAGTGAAATCTTTTCACGCTGTTCTGCTGGGGCACGATGAGCAGTCACGAACCTATCATTGGTGGGATCCACATAATAATCACATAGTCGTCTTTACATATGTAGTTGTTTTGAATCCGTCCCCGATAATTTTTGATCAGATCAATCATTTGTGTATATTTTTTCCTCCCATCTTCATGATGATTCTAATTAACTTGAAACCAATTATACTGAGTAACAATTCCGTCACTTGGAGCCACATAATCCCACTGGGCTACTACCACGTCCTCTTCACTACACCGCAATACATACCCTTAAATTCCAGTCTGAATTTGATCTTTGAGTTGTACCTTAGTTCATGCTGTTAGGATCCAATGCCGTGCCATTAGAATTTACTTACTGCCCTCCAGAGGGCGTGTTGTTCGCATATAGTTACCGAGTGCAGTATACTAAGCAGGTTAGAATAATATGTGCTGTGCTAGATCTTAATTGTCTCTTCCTTCTTCTCTGGGCAGTTTTATTGAAGGTCGATGTACTCGATGATCCATATCTCCTTTGCTACTTAATGGATCCTACTCTCACTAATAAGATATCGAGTTCAGTTCTTACTTCTAACAGTCCCTTCATATGTACAAGTCTAACTACAACGTCACAATATACTGGACGTGGATCTACATAGTTACTTAGTCTCTGGAATAGCTGGTGACATCTGCTAGAGTGCCGAACACTCCCGGAGTTTCCAACTTCACCGGTGCCAGAGATGGTTCCAAAATTGCGTTCGCAAGCTGTGACGAATCTTGAAGCAGTGCTGCTTGCAAGAATGCAACCACTATGCCAGCAGAAAATCTGCGCATAGGCTCTCTTGCTTGACCATTTATGCCTAACCAAGAGGCAATCCAGCCCTGGGCTCCTGGGCACACATCATCCAGGTAGTCCATGTGTCCATAGTCCGGAGCAACGAAATGGAAAGCAGGGGAAGCACTGTCGGAGAAAAAGGCTTCGTGATTGACACCTTTAGAAGCACAAGGAGGAAACAGAAATCTTCCCACAGATCCCAGGCCTGCTCCAATGATGAGAGTGGGAATCTTCAGATCCAAGGAGTGAGGCGAGTACTGGAGAATTGGCGGTTTCGTTTGGTGTCCGATTCCCGTGCCGTGCTTTGGTGGGTCAATACCCACCAAAGCAGAAATCTTTAAGCTCGTGTGACAGACGCCCGTCGCAATACCGAACACCACTTTTCCTCCTCGACTGTGACCGACCACTGCAGCCCTTTTCAAGTCCGCCTTGACAGATGGTACACGCTGTGAGAGAGCATCTTCCAGACCAACAGAAAACCAATCTAGCACGGACCCTGCAGAGGTTATCTCATCCATTGAGTCTGCCGTGGCAAAAATGTACATCTGCAAACACCAATCAAACTGTCAAAATCCAAAAACTACCACCACCACTGATGAGCTCCAGTCTCGTCAACAATCTACCCTGAGATTTAGGCATTCGCCCACATTCCTCAGACATCTGCAAGAAGGAAGGTCTCGTAACTTCAATGATGGCGATTGATCTGTTGCCAATGGGAGAGAGATGTGATAAGCATTTGGGTTCAACGAGAAGATCTCACAACGAACAAGCAGTCACGAAAGAAAGATAAACCAGGGATGCTGTACCTGGGGGGCCACGACAATGAAGCCATGAGAGGCAATATGCTTGAGCATCTGACTGTAGAACGTATTTTCCATAATTTACCCATGCTGGAACAGAATTACAGGATAGCTTCCGGCAGTCTTAGGAGCAGCGATCAACAGAGGCCGCGGAGGATCCTCGGTAAGCTTCAAAGCGGCGTAGGCTTCTTTCGAGCTCCGCCGATGTTTGTAACCCGGGATCGCATCCGAGGAAACAGAGAACACGTCCACCGTCAGAGGACCTTCGTTGTAGATGTCTGGAGCAAGGCGCATTTCGTTAGCGTCCGTGAGTTGATCGGCTTGGGCACAAGCCATGATTGCAAAGAATGTGCCCAACAGAGTCCAGATTGCGCCTAACCCAACATCCAGGTTCCTCCTTGTTCCCGTTATTTATAAGTTCCCAGAAACAAACCCTTGTTTACTGCACCACTTCGGCAGCCAGAAGTCTTCGCCTGCAAAGTATATACGAGATCTGAGAATCTCGTTTACACCAAGAAGGCAATTTAGTCAAATGTCACATGTTCAATTCCTGTGGCTCACTTTCAAACACCTCATTCGCTTATTTCAAACCATGATCCATTAGTCTGCATCCTTCCAGGAGTCTCTTACCAGCTAGAACCAGCAATTGTGACCGATTCAGACATCACAGCGGGCGATGGATTGCGGGGAAGCAATGACGCAAAGATGTCACTCTCCACTATACCTTCCTTCTTCTCTACTTCACTCTCCAGTGATGTCACTCTTCACTCTCCAGTCTCCAGTGTTCACTCTCCAGAAATGTCACTCTTCACTCTCCAGTCTTTACTCTCCAGTGATGTCACTCCTCACTCTCAAGTGTCGTGGTATTATTTTGAATTGCACTTAATCTTCGTAGTCTTTCGAGATCCGATAATTTGGAAAGTGGGTGCTCATTTCAGTCAACGAAATCCGAAAGCCCCTCGAGCTCGGTGACCGCGATGCACAACGCCGACCCTCTCTGCTCCTCCCTTTCCGGGCTGGTCAGTCGAATTCTGGGGTCGAAGTCAAGGAGATGTCGTGTATTTTCACACATCGGGATTTAAAGCAGATTGCGGCCCGGAATATCAAACCTCCATGGATGTTCCGATAACTGGTGAAATCATTAGCCGGATTCCATCGCTCCATATTTATGTACAGTACTGGCAGATTAAATAGTAATTGGTTGGACTTGACAAAGCAAACGAGCTGACATAGGCACTGAATGATGTAGATCTTCCATTGTGGTTCTACTGGGGCTAGCCCCACTTCAATCGTTTTGGATTCATCACTGTGAGGTTTCTTCATCCTTTCTGCTATAATGCTTGGCTCCGCTTCTCGAATTTCTCCCGACGAAACTTTGGAACAATGGTGTCCATTTCCTTTGACTCAATACTTTCTTTTCACTGCAGTGCAGAGAGCTCAGATCATGTCTCGCTGACAGGTTCGTTGACCACGCCTCAATCAAACCCGACGCAGGTGGAAAGTGCAATGGAAGACAGTGTTTGTCATGTTGAGTTCTTCGAAGCTTTTCCACCGATTTGTGCTCGGAATCTTGGAGCGTTCGATGTCCATCTGGTCAACGGAATGAGAGCTGTCAGCTAATCTCCATGGAATCTGCCTTGCTATCTTTGGACTTCTTCCGGATATTACGGCCTCATAAAGCTTCTCAACTAGTCGAGGATAGAGATGCTACAAAATGTAGTTCATAACGCCACCGTAGTAAATAACACGGTAGCATTCACACAGCTACTGTACTCTACTGTGGGGCCATAGGACATGATCGGACTTCGTAAGGCTGCACCCCATAGCGTAGGAGCAAATGGGTCGTAGTTGCTTAAGTTCCGTCCAATCCAATGCTGTGGAAACAATCAGAGTGGAGATTGAAATAATCGAATAGTGGAGAATGAAACTCAGCTCGTGCAGTGGTACACATCTGGATCTTGGACTTGCGGCGTCAGTGTGAGAGCAAGTCACTGGGATGCGAACGATATCGTGGTACCACTGGCGGTGATTGAGTTGCAACTACGAAGTGACTGCATGTTCTGGAAAACCGAGTAGGAGACGATGAAAATAGTCTGGAAAATTCTCCCTGCAAGTAACTTCCACATGCAAATGCAAAAGTTCCATTGGAAATCTTTGCTCAAATCTGATCTAATTTAGGTTCCAAGCTCGACACTGAGAGATTTGCGACTTCCACTCAGGATGGGGGATTACTCATACGAGAAGCGCCAGACGTACTGGAAAGAAACTGCAGAAGACATCGGAGTGCACAGCAACCATAAACACATAAACTGGAAAAACCGCTTTTACACTTAATACTACCTGTATGTTCTCAAGAATCCCTTCATATGTACAAGTCTAACTACAACCTGAGGTTGTAATTAGACTGTATACTATGAGGTTGTCAACCTCACAGTATACTGGACTTGGATCTACATAGTTACGGAGTCTCTGGAATAGCTGGTGACATCTGCTAGAGTGCCGAACACTCCCGGAGTTTCCAACTTCACTGGTGCCAGCGAGGGTTCCAATATTGCGGTCGCAAGCTGAGACGAATCTTGAAGCAGTGCTGCTTGCAAGAATGCAACCACTATGCCAGCAGAAAATCTGCGCATAGGCTCTCGTGCTTGACCATTTTTGCATAAACAAGCGGCGATCCAGCCCTGGGCTCCTGGGCACACATCATCCAGGTAGTCCATGTGTCCATAGTCCGGAGCAACGAAATGGAAAGCAGGGGAAGCACTGTCGGAGAAAAAGGCTTCGTGATTGACACCTTTAGGAGCACAAGCAGGAAATAGAAATCTCCCCACAGATCCCAGGCCTGCTCCAATGATGAGAGTGGGAATCTTCAGATCCAAGGAGTGAGGCGAGTACTGGAGAATTGGCGGTTTCGTTTGGTGTCCTACTCCGGTGCCGTCCACGGGGTCAATACCCACCAAGGCAGAAATCTTTAAGCTCGTGTTACAGACGCCCGTCGCAATACCGAACACCACTTTTCCTCCTCGACTGTGACCAACCACTGCAGCCCTTTTCAAGTCCGCCTTGACAGATGGTACACGCTGTGAGATAGCATCTTGCAGACCGACAGAAAACCAATCTAGCACGGACCCTGCAGAGATTATCTCACCCGTTGCATCTGCCCCGGCAAAAATGTACATCTGCAAACACCAATCAAACTGTCAAAATCCAAAAACAACCACCACCACTGAAGAGCTCCAGTCTCGTCAACAGTCTACCCTGAGATTTAGGCATTCGTCAACATTCCTCAGACATCTGCAAAAAGGAGGGAAGGTCTCTTAACCTCCATGAAGGCGGTTGATCTGAGGCAAATTGGAGAGATACGTGATAAGCATTTGGGTTCAGCGAGAAAATATCACGACGAATAAGCAATCACGAAAGAAAGATGAACTAGGGATGCAGTACCTGCGGGGCCACGACAATGAAGCCATGAGAGGCAATATGCTTGAGCATCTGACTGTAGAACGTATTTTTCATAGTGTAGCCATGCTGGAACAGAATTACGGGATAGCTTCCGGCAGTCTTAGGAGCAGCGATCAACAGAGGCCGCGGAGGATCCTCGGCAAGCTTCAAAGCGGCGTAGGCTTCTTTCGAGCTCCGCCGATGTTTGTAACCCGAGAGCGCATCCGAGGAAACAGAGAACAGGTCCACCGTCAGAGGACCTTCGTTGTAGATGTCTGGAGCAAGGCGCATTTCGTCAGCGTCCGTGAGTTGGTTGGCTCGGGCACAAGCCATAATTGCAAAGAGTGTGCCCAACAAAGCCCAGATTGCGCCTAACCTCACATCCATGTTCCTCCTTGTTCCCATTTTTTGTCAATTCCCAGAACCAAACCCTTGTTCACTGCACCACTTCGGCAGCCACTAGTCTTAGCCTGCAAAGTATATACGAGATCTGAGAAACTCGTTTCCACCAAGAAGGCAATTTAGTCGAAGGTCACAGGTTCAATTCCTGTGGCTCACTTTCAAAGACCTAATTCGCTTATTCCAAACCACGATCCATTATTCTGCATCCTTCCAGCAGTCTCCTACGAGCTAGAACCAGCAATTGTGACCGATACAGACATCACAGCGGGCGATGGATTGCGGGGAAGCACAGGGCCATGCACGACGCAAAGATGTCATATACCTTCCTTCTTCTCTACTCCACTCTCCAGTGCCACGGTATGATTTTTTATAGCAGTTAATCTTTGTAGTCACTCGAGATCCGACAAAAGTCTAATTTGAAAAGTGGGTGCTCATTCCAGTCAGCGAAATCCGTCGTTCCATCTCCCAACAATTATGAATCCAAATTAAACCATCTCCGAATTCTTCTTATGACGATGCAGACTCGAAGACAATTCTCTATACTCGGTTCAACATGACCGAACTTTTACCTCTACGGACGACGTAGGAAGAGTCCACTGCCACACTCGACTCCATACAGAGCCAGCGCTACGAACTGAGCCCAAGCCAAACTCTCGATGTCAGAGGACTGGCTACAGAAGAGACCAGAGCAGAAAAGAAGATGGCCTCGTTATAATAGCGAATCGTACGAATTGCAAATCGAAGCTCACTGTTTGATATTATTATGTCAAATTTAGCCCACAAAGGGCACCGTGGGGCCCGACGCGGAGTCAATATCAGGCTCTCGTAGATAGCGGAGGAATGGTGAACAGTCGAAGGAGCAGCTCGCGACGGCGGGTGTCATGGACTCTCTCATGGCATGTCGATGAGAGATAACCATCGCCTCCATTTAGCGTCTCAGGTGTTTATTCTTTCCTTCGACTGGGAGCAACTTGACGTGGCACTTTTCCTACCCAAAGATATCTATCTTAAGCGCAATTCATTCGGTTTTACCAGTCATAGGTCGTCTCAATGTAGCCTCTCCATGAAAATAGGTCCTGCCGAATTATATTTTGGAACGAAATTGTCATAATTTGCTTTTATTCCAGGGATAAAAGTACAATGTAGCCTCTCCATGAAAATAGGTCCTGCCGAATTATATTTTGGAACGATATTGTCATAAATTGCTTAATTTCCAGGAATAAAAGCAATGTGCGGTGAGCGTGGATCGAACACGCGACCTTCAGATCTTCAGTCTGACGCTCTCCCAACTGAGCTATCCCCGCGGATATATACTTTCCCCAGTTTGTAGCACTCTTAAATTATGATTTTCTTAATTAACCCAAACGAATTTGTAAGCAGAAATAATTTAAAAGTGAAAACCAGAAAAATTTTATCTACAGATTTGAGAGCTGGATTTGGAAACCTCGTACTGAGCTTATCCCCGCTGATATGTCACTCAGATGTCTTAGAATAACATTAAAATCAAAATATATAACATGATACCAAAAATTTTTAAAAATAATAATAATATAAAAGTGAAAACCAGGATGTTCGATCTACAGTTTAACGTGTTCGGTTTATATAAGGGGAGCGGGATTTGAGAACCTCGTAGATTCCTGACGACGTAGAGGTTTAATTTCTCAGGACCGACCCTGAGGGCCGGGATATGTGGCTGCGGCACGAAGTCGGGAAGAATATATGCGCGTCCCGGAACCGTGAAGTGGCCCCTTGTCTACTCGTCCGGATAATCTGAGAACTGGCGGTTGACGTGTCCGTCCGGTTAGCGGGCTCATGTCAGAGTGATGGATTTGGCTCGCGAGGAAGGGTTGTCGTCACTCCCCAGCCCTGGGACTTCACCCTGGGCTCAATTTCGCGATATTCGTCGAATCTCCTGCTGTCGTGACCCAACCCATCCCATCCCATTGGGCTCAGCTCAGAGCCCAGCAGCTGAGTACGAGTTCGCAGCCTGACACTGCTCCGGTGCCACCGGCGCTCGAAGCCGCATTCTCTTTCTCCATTCCCGAAGACGATCAATTCATTTTTTTAGTGCTCGCAGCTGAGCAGAGCATCTTACCAACTTTGGCTGTCTCGAGGCCTGGGATTCGTGCGCTGCGGGTCGTTAACCATGGTGGGATCCCGGTGTGTACTGGCCATGTCTGGCCTTGGTCTGGTAATCATTGTTCTCAGCTCTCCTGGAATGCATGGGTCGGCGGGAAGGAAATTAGTTATGGTTATATAGACATGTTTCTTTAGATGAATTTGGATATGGTTTGGTCTAGTGTAGTTTGTACGCCCTCGTGACGCTTTCCGTGCCTTCCTCTTCTGACTTCTGCTGAAAACTGTCTAGCTTCAGCGTCGTGTGTACTGAATGTTTAAATGAATTGAAGTACCTTATAAAATTCTGGACTTGAAGCTGAAATCCCAATACATCATGACAAATGGAGCACCATGGTGAGAATAATATCTAATATGCGTCCTTTCTTTCTGTAACGTGGAACAATTCACTTGCTGTCACGAAATGGCTCTCGAGTTTTAAATCGCATTCTCTCAGCCAGCTTCGTGCAGTCAACAATTGCATTTAGACATCCATGATCAAATTGTAGCGTGCAGGATGACGAGTGAATCTCGTTGTGCTATGAAGGGAGGTGTGTCGCATTGTAGATATTCTGTTTCAAGTACAATTCACCAATCTGGATCACTTCTGACAGTCTCTCGCTTGTCATTCTGAGCAATGGACGTTCATCTCACTCATATACTCCCCTTTCACCTTACCTTTCCCGATTCCGATGAAATTCTTGTAGCTGTATAATCGTTACTTCGACTGACTGGTGATTGTGATTCGCTTGAAACTGTTGCAGGATTTGTGCTCTCCGATCAGGAACCCGACCATATCCGCTCATTTGGATTCGAGCTCCTGCAATACCAGGAACGTTTCCTGCAAGTATTCTGTGGCTCCACAGAAACAACCCTCTAACACAGTGGACGATGGGAAAAATGAGAGCAGTGGGTTTTCTCCCATGAGCATAGGTTCTGCAGCGGTCAATGCGTTATTTTCGTACGAACCTTTTTTCAAATTTGCAGCAGGCCAGGCAAGAAGTATGATCATTGAAAGGGGTACAGAAATTGGGCATCCTTGGGCCCCGGAGCTTGCGAAACTTCGCACCCATGATTGGTCTGAGGAACTGAAAAAGGCTCAAAATAAGCAAGTGGAATACCCATCGGTGAGATAACTGCTCTGTACAAGAAGCTATCCATCTCCCAGCATGCCTTGTTCAGTTGGAACGTGACTCCTGTTAAGAAGAACTGTAATTAGTATGGCTATTAGGGTGTGAGCGAGCTCATAAATGAAGTGCACTTGTTTTATCGACGGGTTTCATTTTTCTGCGAAATGTTGCATCTCTGGTTCTGATGGCAATCTCACCAACATGTGATAGCTATACCTACTGTGTGGAGGGGAGGAGCAAACTTGTCATATGAAGCGCCCAAAGTTTCTCATTTATGCTTCTGACAATCGATGACCAACTCCGATAGGGGTGAAAGTTCTCATTCAGTGATGTGTGCCATGACGTAAATCCAGTACTATTTGAAGCCCTTCCATGCCTATGAATATGGAAACTTGTCATGGGATGCCGCCTGGGAGGTGGAGCTCGCAGCAAAATCGGTCCATGCCAACATTTTTGATCCTGAGGTATGAACATAAGTTTCTTTCTGGAATTGAATGCTCCAGTGCTCAAATCTGCTGTCCTGAACCCACTAAGAACCCGCTAGTGGCTAACGTGACGATTAAAGATCCAGTGCTGGAGGAGGTTGGAACGTGGTTGATGGTGCTCCTTGTGTAGAACATGTTACCGAAGTGTGTTCAGAGACAGTAAACAAAGCGCTCCGTTGCTCTTGCAGAAACAAAAGCTGGATCCAAATGGAGATGCAGAATTGAGGAACTCTTATCACAGGACGATGGTACCCATGCTGAAAACTACTCCTCACGCTATTGTGGATCTTGGTTGTGCAACGGGGCTCAGCACGTACGGACTTCATGAGGTCTGCAATGGCAACTTCTCCTCTCGAATGCTGAATCTAGACACGATGTTGTACAGTTTGCGAACAAGTTGCTTAATTCACGTTACTCGAGACAAGGTCTTAACAGTTTATGGGGTTTCACAGAATGTCCAGCGGATTACGTATGTCCTCTACTTTTTTTCTTCAGTTCAGAACAGCTTATGGAGTTCTCTTCCTTCCCGTTTCGAAGAAAACACTTTATGATTTCCTTGCGACATGTAAAGTAATAGATAGGATACACCTCGCCGTGTTATATACACCGTAAATAACAGTTATTTATACGTCCACCTGCTCACCTGATTATATCATTCAATGCAGTTTGTCACGTACAGGCACTCCGCCCATATCGCCCCCTTCATGTAGCACTGATGTCGAATGTTTGGGTTGTCCCAGGTTTTCCCCAATGCGCTCACTGTTGGGGTAGATCTGTCACCATATTTCATTTCTGTCGCCAACTTTCGTCAAAAACAAAGGGTACGCCCCTGAAAACCTCACACAAATTTCTAAGCTGTATATTCTCGGTATGCTTGTGTCAGTGTGTGACTCGATGTGCTTCTTTCAGCATCGTTAACGGAGTGCTGTTCACACTCAATAATTGAGGAACTGACTTTATCTGGTTCTTGAAGTGGTAATGAAGAGTCCGAGCAAGTCAGTACAATTTCTCCATGGAGCAGCAGAGTACACCGGATTACCATCAGGCGCTTATGACCTAGTCTCTCTTTGTCTAGTGTGTCATGAACTTCCACGCACAGCCACCAAGCAGGTACGAGAGAGGGCATTGGTCTTTAGATCTTTGTTTCACCTGGTTTTTTGGCATAAAAAATCACAGCCCGTTTGATGTTACAACGACGGAAGAGAAAGAGAACTTAAGCGTTATGATAGAAGCACCCTCTTCTTCTCCCACTTCTTAGAACGTTTATTTCTAGTATATTGCATCCTGAGGTTGTAGTGGAACGGCAGATAATTGAAGAAGCACATCGACTTTTGAAGCCGGGAGGTGCTCTTGCCATTATGGAAATGAACCCCTACAGCCCTCTTCTTCAGAAAATGGTCACCAATATCTTCGCCTTCACAGCCGTAAGTTCTGCTTTATTTCTGCTACTCTTGAAAATTTGTGCGCTCGCCAATGAAAGTAACTTTCTGAGTAACTTGCCGATCCTGATTAGGAGATCTTCAAGTGCCTTTTGGGCTCCATCACTTGTACTCCACAGGCAGGTGTTCTTGTGGATGTGCTTCTGTTGAGCAGTCTATTGACTCGGGTACTTGTATCTTTTGTGGACAGTTCAAAGCGACAGAACCCTACTTCGATGATTACAGAACGTTCGGAATAGAGAGAGCTATCGAAGAGAGGGGCTTCTCTTTTCCAACTCAAACAGAATGTTCACCGAGGCATAGAACAATTGTAGCCCACAAGAAGTAGTTTACCCGTTAGACAGACTTTGTGTTCGATATAGCTAGATCCTTAATTGTACAAAAATGAACACAATTATTTGAACAAAATTCAATCCATCCTCTTACTGGTTTGGAGAATCTCATCCTATGAGAAAGAAGACGTCTGATCATGAAAGTCGGAAATTTCTCGCGAATAACTGCCCTACTGTTGTTAATGTTTCGCATAGTTCTGTATTATTTTTATAGATACCAAAGATATGATGCTAGGCTCGCTTTTCATTGGGTTATTCTATCACATTTTGAGACCAGGTAATTATTGTTGAAAAGAACTGGCTGCAGGAATTCATGTATGCTCCGACAGCCTTGCTGATTATTGCTCTATCTGACGAGCGAAATTCAAATATCTGATAGGAAGTTCTGGAACTAACCACAGTTTGCAAGTCAGGTTAGGGTGACCTGTTCATCAGATGTTGTTATCCGATAGTCCAGTAAAGACGTAACTCTGATGATCAGAATTTGAGTGTCTTAGCCTGAGGCCCAATGGCACAATGCTCTGAGATGCTGGTAGTTGCAGACGAGGAACGACAGGGGCTTAGTTTGAGGCCTAAAGAGAACAAACACTGAATTACGCAGGTGAGTTCTACTTGGTTGCACCAAAAGACATATTTCGTTTTAACTCCAGTGGTAATGTGCGGTGGCCTCTTTATGATTGAATGAGATTTAATCGGACAGAACCCAATTTCTCTTCTGTAAGTTGCTAAGCATCACGAATAGAATATGCTGGCATTTGACTCACATGGCGTTAATATCAGACTAAGATTGTGCCCCGTGACGACATAGGTTTGTCATGACTGCCATCATTCCTGAGTAATGTCGTTCATGGTCTTACGATTTGCTTCAACGAGTTATATATGAATTCGTCACCGGACGGAATGATTAATGAGCTGTATCAAATATTGAAACAAAGGTATCATATATATATCATAATCCAGTAATGCAACCATTGGGATGGATTCCGACGGTCGCACAATATGACATAGAACTTTATACACCAACTTCATTTTAGGAGAAAATATGTAAAAACATTACTACTAGTGTACCAGATTATATTCATCATAAATACAAAATTAAATATCATTTGTTTCAGTCCATGTTTTATAAAGTCTTTGTTTAATTCTAAAAACCCTATAACTCGTTATTAACAATATCTTGTTGCCAAAGCACATGTTTCTGTTGAACACTTCGTGTCATGAATGCAGAAGATGTCCATCCTTAAAATAACATTAAATGTACTGAAATTTTCTTTATATGCTCCCCGTCTGTTTCCTGCTACTTGGAATCCATCTTTTCTAGATTATAAATATGCATTTTAGTAAAGAAGTGATACGTAGCAATTACGCACAAACTTTGACGAAATTATTTTGTAAAACAAAACACGGAGTAGAATAATGCCCTGTTTGTTAACTGTATCCTAAGCTTGCGGGTTACGTTCCCATGAGAATCTCGATGTCTGTATCTATTAACATTGACATTCATCAAGAAGTCAGTATATGAAAATTTGGAAACTCGATCACCTGATAACTTTTATTTGGGGAAGTCTGTAAAAGCAGTTGCGTTTACATTGTAACGTTGAGTACATATGTGTGTGTGTGAAGTAGATACAAATTAAACCTGCCAAATTATACGTGAGGAGATTTTTCATGTCAAATGTCGTATTAGACAATAGCGTGGTTGGAACATCGATACGAAATTACACACATGTGAAGTAAATTGCTTTGGTGAAATTGGCATAGCTTACTTATGCATCTACTTATAAAAGTACGCCTGAAGAAGTTATATATGGACATCAAGCTACGATTTATATTTTCTAAACACTTTAAAACCACACATCGACTTCAAGATTGATGATGATTTATCTTTCATGACGTTTACATTTCTGTCTGCCGAGATAAAATGCTGACATTTTATCTCAGCAGACAGAAATGTGCAAAATATGAAAATACAGAACTGAGGAAGTGGACAGGACGCTCTAACCAACTAGCAATTAGGCCATATGTGTTTTACGTATGGCCTAAATAAATTATACTAAAAATTACCCCGTAATTTTAGATGACCTTCCACCGCCGCTTGCATGAGGGCTAGATTAACTTTAAGCGCGTTATGATTACGCATTTTAGATGAATGTAGTATGAAGGGTTTTGTAGGTTGATTACCAGGCCTCTCTAGATTACGCCTAATGTGCCTAATCTCAAAAGCTTGTACGTCCTGAGAGAGATTGGACTGGAGATGCATGTTTGTATGAGTATATTCTTCATTGCACAAATTGGTCGCAGCGTGAGATGTACATAATTTGTAGACACCCGAACATCAACGGTGGAATATGAAATTGAATAAAATACTCCTATCCTAATGTTGTTGAATTCTTTTAGTGATAATTTTATTTGGGATTTGTTCCTAAATTACTTGGCATTAGGCATGTGCCTAATTTACATAGGCCTGTGATTACCTATATTCACGAAATTTTACTATTTACACTATTTCCAGAACGTGTACTAACAGCCCGATGTAATCTAGAAGTTTACCTCCCGATAACGTTTTGAGTTTTGTCTTACATTTAGGTAATACTCATCCAAATTCAGGAGACGTGAATTGCGGCCCACTCTTCCAGGCTGTTGCTACTGTATCGGAATAAGACACGTGTATGACTTGTTTCCAGAACTCCTAAAGATCTTGTGCAATCCGCATTCAGGGGTATGATTGTGAACTTTGATTTCGAACGCACACAACAACGTACAAAGTGTTACAGTAGCTGACCTTATTGAAGCATGCTTTTTGAAGGCTGATCGTAAGCGTACATCATCAATAGGTTTATCACTTCAACTCTGGAAGTTGCTCGGGTCAAGAGATTGTTACATGAATTTATTCCAAGACTTCGCAAGCAGCTAGCTTGTCATCGCTCGTTCGTTTAAGTATGGTTGGCCAATCTCACCTGAACCATGTAGCCTGTTCTCATTATGTTAAAATGGCAAGAATCAATTAAGCATACTGTAGTTACATAGAATAGTACATGGATGTACAAGAATTCATACACACACAAAGTATGGAACAAAGCCCCAAATGATATGAAATTTTTGAAAGTTCCTTGACTTGTTGATCGCGTGAACTTATGTAAAAAAATATGAGACAAAAGTCAAATATTCAATATTCATTGACAAATATGATCTGTAAACATGGATTTAGATGTGAGTACTGTCCCTCGAGTCGCTATGTTCGACTGGTGTGATGTCAAAAAAAGTCTCATCGATATGACATCTGAAAATGTCGATACAATTTTAACCCACAACTTTATGTTGCATGTCTTGCATAATGTCGCTAATTGTCGAATCCATTTAAAGATCAGCTTGCGACCCACATAACATAAGGTTTCGGCTCAACCGATGTGATATTTGCTTGAACTTAATAAAAAGGATTACTTGAAAGATGCATCTCACACCATGTGTATAAGAATGTAGGCCATATCGACTTAAACAAAAATGTGTTATCAAATTATTCATTTATTTAAAGGAGCGGCTAGTTATCACTCACTTAGGATATTTATCTCTCACCTTATTGTACTAAGGATAATTAGCCAAATCAGCCAAGTGGTAGGATAAATTCTCGATAGGGCCTTGCGAGTGACAATAGCAAGTAAGGCTTGTAACCGAGTAGTGGAAAGGTGGAGGTACGAGATTGTCGTATTTGCATCCTGTGAGGCCTATGGAACCTAGGTCGAACGAGACCATCCGGAAATAAGATTATGTCTTCATCATCAACCCAAACTGTGCCAACTAAAAAACGGGAGATTCATGGAAGAAGTTGTTCCCCAAATTGCAACATTTTGGAAAAACTCACCGCGGTTCCTCAACACGCCACGGGCCTCGACTTTGCTCGAGTTTTTGGCTAGAATAGTGACCCCACTAGAGCTATAGATTGGGTTAGGGTTACAATAGTCCGGAAGGCTACTCAAACTACAATAGCTCCCGGTTCTTGGCAAAGTTCCAACCTAAACTGATATCATTACTTGACTGACTTGGCTATATCTCCCTCTTAAGGTGAGGGATAATTAAACTAAAGTGAGGGATAACCGGCCAATCCTTTGCTTTAGTGATATATCATTCTATTCATTTTTATTTTATAATTACGGTCTTACATGTCTCTAACCTGTAAAAGCGTACCAGCAATATTCTAAATAATATTGCACTTTCAAGTTTACCCTATGCATTTAAACGACCTATGGTGAGCCTTATAATCGACTCGGGATATGAACAACCTGTACTTGGTTAATGTTAACATCTTACAGTTACTGAACGTAGTGTGCACTGACACGATGAGAACCTAACGACAGCAGGTTCACCTGACATCTGAGAAATGATGGCCAGAAATTGTCGATGGCAGTAAATGATAATGCCCACCACATAAACAAAAGTTGGAACCTACTCTCTAGCATGCATGTTGGCTTGGGGACATCACATTCAGAAAGTCAACAAGTCTCCTTATCCACTTATTTTCAACTTCAGACACCAGAAAAAGTTCAAAAGAAGGGTTCAAACTGGATCCAAACACTCCGAATTCCTAGCTGCCCAAGCTCGAACTCACCTGCCCTCCTCTCTCTGGTGCTGCATCAGCATGACCCCGGTCCCCAATACTGACTCACTCACAGCTGCGAACGCTGGCATGCACAATTTGTCCACTTTCGGACCCCGAGGACGAAGACACCGCCGAGGGGTTCTTTGAGCCGGCGCTCCCCGTCATCCTGGTGGTAGACACATACTGGCGTACGCTCGTACGCATGCACCGGGGGTTACAGTATACGTGCTGCTGACTGGTGGGATCGATGAGGAGGGAAGGGGCATGATGGCCTAGAGTTGCGAGGGGGAGAATAGAAATTAGAGCTGGAAGCGAGTCGACCCGAGATCGGGGGCTGCTAATGCCACAGCGACACGAAGGGCTGAGCTCCGTTGCGAGATCGTTGCGCTCGACATGTGGGCTGCAAGCGCATGGACTGGTGCGAACGATGCAAGTATTGGCGAGAAACAGATGAACGAGGCTGCAGCTGCAGACAGGTGGTTCGCGCCTCGCCGCCTGCATGACCGACACCTGCGCGCCGGGCTGCCTCGTGTCCTCGCAGCGCCGAGGTTTACAATGGGGCCCCGGTCCCGAACTGCCCATCAAGCCGAACGTCAAGCCGAATTTGTGCCCGAGCCTCATCTCCCTCCTTCATCATATACTCCGTCACCATGTCTCCAATGGCAGCAATCCTCTCCCTCCCTCTCTCCCCCCTCTGCTCTTCTATTCTCCCTCTGTCCAACCGTGCTTCAGCTTCAGGCAGCAGCTCTCTCGCAGCTCAGAATTCTCGCTCAACTCCAGTCTCTAGCAGCAGGTGCCACTCCATAGTCGTAGACAGGACATCGTCTTCACCCTCGAGGTTTCTTTGGAAGCAGCACACAGGTCTCAGAATGAATACCGAAGGTCTAGCTAAGCGATCTCGCGACCCTCAGATCGCCGCCCAGGAGAGGGCGGAGACTGTGAAGAAGACGAGGAACTATGTGGCGGCGACGATCAACAAGCCGGGCGTGAAGAGCCTGATCGTGGCAGTGGCGATCCCCTTCGTTCTGGGTGCCATTGACGGGCTGGCGAATTCTCCCAACACCGATTGGTACTTTGGGCTCAAGAAGCCGTCGTGGCAGCCTCCGAGCTTCCTGTTTGGTGGGACATGGAGCATTCTGTACCCGCTCATGGGACTGGCCTCGTGGCTCATTTGGGCCGAGGGAGGCTTCCAGGTACAGGGCAAGGCCTTGACCCTCTACGCTATTCAATTAGTTCTGAACCTCGCCTGGCCTGTCATCTTCTTCGGGAAGCAAAATCTGGGACTCGCTCTGGTCGAGATCGTCGCTTTGGTCGTCGCTGTCGCTGCCACTGTCAAGGCCTTCCAACCCGTAAATCATGTGGCTGCCAATTTGATGAAGCCTTACCTCGGTTGGGTGATCTTCGCCGCCATTCTCAATGCCAACCTCTGGTACATCAACCGCAACAATTCCACTGCTGTCGTAGAACAGCCCCATGCAGAGTAAATTGTGCTCGATCATTTTGGCAGGAGCTGCAGCAGCAGCAGCAGCAGCCGCAAGTGGATCTACACATTAGGTTGGGTTTACAACAGCCAAAGTTCAATAACGGAGCGTTTGTAGGAAGCTGTGGCGGAAGTGAGATTATCGATCACAGCAGCACGTTCGTAGTCAATTGGATCTTGTACATAGTGTAATATCTGATCACGGAGGAGGAGGTATTTAGGTTGACTGATCGAGATGGGTGGACGGATGGTGGGATAGTGTGTTAATATTTTTCCAGTGTAAAATTTCAGTCCCGGCAGATGACTACATTACCGAACTCTGAAACTGAACTCGATTCGTAAACCTAGAGATCTCAATTCTTCGAGGCTCGTGTAGTGGGACTCGAGCCAATGTGATACTTCTCTGTACTTTTTTAACGACGTCTTTCTCACAGTTTAACTAATTCTTTTCTGTTTATCTTCTTTCTATTTTCATGTATCTCGACTTCCATCCGATTGAAGATATGTGACATTCATCCGCTTTGTTGCCAGTCTATGAGGGTAAGTACAGTTTTGTAAATTACAGTCGATCACTTCGTTGGGAACTTACTCTGAAATTTTGGAATAGTCAATACCTGAAGGTGAAAATATGTGAAGGTAAACTGAAGTTCATGAATATGTGGAAGGGTGCATAATGTTGTATAGTGAAATGACTATTAATACCCTCGAAAACCACCACTATCAAACTGGCAAACACGTCTCATATCATGTCTGTTCAAAATTGTTGAGCACATTTTCCACATAGAAACAAACCTGAATATCTGTTGATCACCATTTGTACATCTGGCATAGGTGTAGCCAGCTATGACAATCATAACTCCAGTGCAGATACTTCAATCTAAGAAAAATTAATAATTTTTTATAATAATTTTTTTTTATCAACCCTAAACTCTAATAAAAACCCTAAACTTTGAAAACTATAAATTTATAATATATCTGTAGAAAATATATTTCCCTTGTTAGCTCGATAATTAAGTTAAATTCTTGTACGTAACTGATCGGAAATTGTCGAGCATATACCCATAATAATATTTATCATCGTGTGAGAATGTATATCATCGATCAAGATAATCTGGTTGAACGTTTGAATGATAGTAACACAACTCTGCCAATATGGCTGAACAGAACTGAATATATGACAAATTTCGTGATCAGATACATGTCTTTTTGACTTGAAAGAGGCAAGTCTCGTAGCTTAAACGTCAGATCAGATTCCATATGACAATGTATTTACAATTGACAGATTCCACTGAAGTCCCAAGTTTCGGAATCGTAGTCGAAGGATTTGAGAACTGCAAGAATGTTTTGTCGATGAGCTGAATAGTTGCGGCTACTCGATGTTTAAAGTACGCTCATACACTGGACGCGCGAGTCTAACGGAGAAGGAATCTGTAAACTCATCGTCCAGCTCTCACATCAATAACTGCTAGCGGGGATAGCCATTCTATTGGAAGATATTTTTGGTAACGTATTGCCACTTGTCAAATATGCAAGCTCTGCCATGCCATGCCATGCCACCCTGACTGCTGTCATCAGAATCAGAAATTGAGTTTGCATCGCCGGTAAGTTTCCACTTCAGAACAAGTCGGACGCCGTTCGATATAAATACTTTTGGCTTGCCAATACTGCAGCTAAAGTAAAAAAATCCGACTACTGCTACAGACACCGTATTGGACGCCGAGTAGTACACACAACACATCCAAAGGTCTTTTGAGAAATATTCTTGTGTAAACAATTTAAAAGTCGAAGCAAAGAAGCACGACTTGGAGAGGGATAAACTTAGTTTCTAGTTGAGTACGTGAAGAACTCAGATCTTGAAGGGTAAGATACTGGCTTGTAGAAAGTACAAACAGGTTCGTCTATTGCGTCACTGATGCAGCGTTATAGGGTATAGACCATAAATGACAGCAACGATGATCATGTCATAAAGATTCTAACGAATCAGCTGCAGCAGATGCTCTTTGCCTGAATCGATTGCAGGTTCACTAGACGAGCCTAGCGCAACTGTTCACTCAACCTGCAGACCGAGAGGGCGGACACATATCGGAACAGGATTTGTTGGTACTTCTTCCAAGAGCCATGTGCTGCGTATATATTGGGTTCTGCTCAAGCTGGTCGGGTCCTTCTGAGGGAGGACGGGACGGGTTCCTCGGAGGTGAATCCGTCTCTCACTCTGAAGCGGCTGCAAAATCGCTCCCTGAGAGCTCCAGAGAACAAAGGGAACAAAGTTTTCATGCACGCGTCCACTTGTCAAGAGGTGAAGACCAGTCGAGCAATAAAGAGAGCTGAGGATGGACGTCCAAATGAGAATGAGAGTGCACTTTCTTCTGTCTCCGTCTCTTGTTCTGAGTATAAGTTCTCCTTCCACATCTTCATCTCCGTGTCCCCGCTTCCCAGCAGCACGGCCTTCTCAGCAGGCACCGATACTCGTAAGGTTTACAGAGTCCTTAGTCAGTCTGGTTGACCTCTTTGACATCTTTTTCCCCCATGCTATCCCCCTTCATTGCGTCTCAACAGCTCTGTCCATTCTTACATGGGGCAGCCCAATTTATTTAGGTCCAGTATTTGATCGCTGAAAGTCAGCTGATTTCGACCAGAACAACATAGTTCTGCGCATCAAGGAAGCCAGGACAGTAGTGCAGCGATTTACAGTTATGGCGGCGGCGACAGCAGTAGTAGGAATTGCTGACAGGCTTGTGTACTCGGGAGGATTCAGCGGCAGCAGCTGTCGAATCGAGAGTACAAAATCGAGGAATTTGACCGTAAGATTCTCGTCTAACACTGCCAAACATCAAAGCAGCAACAGCAAGAGCAGCAGCAGCAGCAGCGCCAGCTCCTCATTGCCGTCGAAGAGCCAGGCAGATGGACCTCCACCGATTCCTCTGCATCTAGAACTGAAGCATCCGGAGAGCAAGGAAGACGCTCTGCAGCTGAACATGGTCGAGCTCTCGTTAGGGGGCCAGGGACTTCTGTTCGGCTCACGAATTCCCAAACACTTCTTTAACATCCAAGGATTCGGGCAAACAGACCGGGGCGATGGCTCGGACCCCTGGGAGACAGGATCGTACGACTTGGCCCTGGAGGAGGCCGGCATCCAGGACCTGAACATCATGAAGTACACCTCCGTCATTCCTCCCGAGGCTTCCAAAATCACCAAGCTCGAAGCTCAGGCTTTCTTCAGGCACGGCGCTGTGATGGAAGCCATCATGAGCACCATGCACGGAGTGAAAGGGGACCGAATCACTGCCGGAGTGGGCCGAGTGCAGATCAGGAGGAAGAAGGATGGCTACCACATCGGTGGATATGCGGCCGAGTACGAGGGGCATGCAACCGCCGACAAGGCCCGAGATATTCTGAGGTCCGACTTACAGGGCATTTTTTCTCGACGCTTCCAGCCCGAGGAGTACGAATGCTTCGACGAGGAGTTCACCATTCGCTCGGGCGAGGTCGAAAAGGCTTTCGGAACTGTCATCGCTGCCATCTGCTTCAGCACTTACGTCTTTCCCGTGTACGTGCAGCAGCAGCAGAACTAATTTCTGCGTACTCTCTCACCTCGCCAGCTCGGGAGCTCACTTCACCAACTCCTTAACCATAACTCACACATGCAATAAATTTGAACCGTCGAGCCACTCGTTTTCTCTCGCCATGCGGTTGTTTACGTACGCACTCTTTGCGTGTGCTGCGCTGAGAGGTGCTAAATTGAGAGTGCAGGAATAAGGGACTGTAGTAGAGATTCAGCTTTGCTGTGGGTGCAAGCCCATGGCACACTACAGGATGTGTACATACAAGCTGCAGATTCAGACACGCAATTTTGACTGTTACTGAGGTTTCCGATGTTGTAAATAACTGCTGGAAAGTCTGCAGATTTCCTGCGATGAGAAAAGCATACGTGTTCTTGTAACATTATGTTCATATATAAATATCGTGGTGAAGATGAGACATATTTTTTCAAGTTTGTGCCAAGTTACTGGATAACCATGAAAGTACGTAAACAAGCTGTCTAAAGTTCGAGCTGAGCTGTTATGATGACTAGTCTGGAGATAAACAGTGTTATTGGAATTATATTGATTGTGAAGTATCGTCACACACTTATCAATTACAATTATATCTGAATTTGAATTCAGATAAGGATGTAATTGTAATTTTTTCAACAAATTTTTGGTATGGTGCTTTTGCGAGAGATTTGTTTGATGTGACCCCTGCAAAATGTAATTTGTTTGATGGGGACATTTCAGGTTTAATTTTACCCGATGGGACCCATGAATAATGCACCGTCACCCATGTTCTAATAACACCTAGAAAGAGTGTAACAAGTCAACCGCACCCGAGGACAGAGTGGACTTCGCACTCCATCACACTCACTTGTTTTTATGTTGTAATTCTGTATCCAGCTACTCCCCCTGATGACGAGCAAAGAAATGTTCATCCGGAGTTTATTTGTTCGCCACAAATGGGTGATCGCAAGACTTGAGCTCGGACCACTTTCCGGTAAGAGTTCCTCGTCGCATACACAGGGTTACGAAAAGAGGGTGCAGGTGGGAGGCAGCAGAGAAATCCACGCGAATCGGTGTGATCGGAAGAATTGAAGCACAACAATTGCACTTCGAGCGTAATCTATCTTTGTCCGCGTGATAATCTACCAGAAATTATAATCATGGATTAATCTCTGATTTTAATCCCCGCATTGTAATTAATAGTAATCGCAATTACAATTCGTTGGGTCCCATCGGATAAAACTTAACCTGAGAGGTACCATCAAGCAAATTACTTTCCGCAAAGATCCCATCAAACAAATCTCTGAAGAACAACTTTTTTGGAAAGTACAGTTCTTTTGAAAATATGACACATACCAAAACTGCATCTATACACAATTGCAAAAACTTTTACACACTACTTTGTCAGTTAGTGATAAATAGACTAATTCACCTTCTCCGAATAAAACCTTCCTTAAGTACCGTTCGATAGAACCAACAGACGGAACGACAAACAGAAATTGATGACGACCTCTTTCCGCCGTCGTACACTTTTCTATTTACTCAAGAAGGGTTGGTTGGTGTCGTACAGTATAACTTGTGTGTCAGACGGCTCCTATCTGTAGAGGACATCCAGTAACATGCCGGAAGGATGATAAAATTTCATGAAGGTGAGAGTTACACCATGGACAGCGATCAAGAAGCCTCTATCCACTAGACATCTGTTTCCGGAAGAGATATTTGAGCTCTAGAAGAGCACTATACCATGGCGTATTACAGCCTCACTTCGTATACTGGTAAGAACTTAGAGTGAGAATATCAGAAATAACTTTCTTATTCTGCCTTCACAGGCATGAATTTCCTATGTCCCTCGGACACCGACTACAGGCATGGCCTCAGATACGAAAATAATTCTCTCCCATGACGACCCAGAACGGAAATAAGATAAATATTTTATTTGACAGGGCAAAGCGCGATTTCATAAGTTTTGGATTCGGAAATACAAAGGTCTACAGAAATACAATATAATGCGCCTTTGAAGTTGGGACGTTATAAAATGACTAGATACACACCTGCAGGCCTTTTAACCTCTACTTCATCATCCTCTCCATCTCACTTCTTGTTTCGAAGGAAACTGGAAAGTTGTAGGGATCGTTTAAAAGTCTTCTTTGATTATTCGTAGCACATTAATTCAGACATTGCATCCACATGCAGTTAAAGAGTTGCACGAAGAGACGAGCACCATAACCGCTTGATTTCAAGATGAATGAATAACCTTCATATAAATACAGTAAATTTTTAGTCTACAAAATTGATGCGACTCTTTTCGACGACACACGATGATTTACAATGATTTCAGTACCCTCCAAAATTTCCACATCCTCACGTTGCTACATCACACAAGAATCCATGATCCTCGATACAATTCAGCCTAAGTTCCCATAGGCATCATCATTCTTGTACAACAGCCTCAGTTGGCAGCTCATCCTTGAACCACGTTCTGAGCCCACCTTCCATGTGCACGACGTTCGTGTATCCTTCCAGAGTAAGCAGGTAAGCTGCAATGAGAGACCTGCATGTGACAACCATAATCTTGAGTGCTTTTGTACCCTGCAGGTAATACTTCAAAGAAAGAAGGCAAGCTTCGCTGCAAGCTCAACCAACCATTAAAACCGAAGCACAGCCACCACATAAAAAAACTTAGTAACCACACTGTACCACAGCAAATTCCTTCTTACATCATGTCCAGGTACAGCGACGAAACGAGAGGGCAACAGCAAAAGAATTGCGTTAAAATGATTCTTCGATCGACAAAAGAATGGAAAATTTGACAGATAACTCTTTGAGTCCAAAGACCAACACATAGACATAGATGCTGGACTTTACGAGTTGTAAACGCGTTCTAGAGCGATCAGAGGTGGAGTGATGCCGAAGCCCAGAAGATTTGTCCTAACGAGTCGGGGGTTGAAAGTCTGACCTGGACTGAGACCCATCAGCGAGATTGGGAGAGGGCTTCACTGTACCGCCAGCAATGCAAGCAACTATAATTTTGCTATCCTTATCCAGCTTTTCTTTCACCTCTGCAATCCAACCCACATGAAAACGAAGCAGAAGCATAAGGCAAGCAGTACCTCGATTCCTTGCCCTCATTGGCTGCTGAGCTGACCCTCAGTGTACCACCCATTTGACACGTTAGTAGAACTGGAGAGTCCTTTGGAAACTGCGACGCAACTTCTGCTCCAAGCCAAAGTCCGAATTGACTACATTAAAAACCCCTACCTTAAGTCTAGCACCTGAGCGAAGCACTGCGATTCATTTATTGATCACTTTCTTCCTTTCCCCAAGCATATCTGAATGTGATGCACAGCTTTGTGGGAAATCAAATCAATTACTTAAAGAGACCATACACTTGACATCTGATCGGCGACCTCTTTTCTTAAAGTTCCCATTTCCAGTCAGCGCGTAGACTTCTTAGATGCAAGCCTATTCCATTCACTGGAGGGTGGAAAAACGGTCATACCCTTGATGAATTCTGGGTTCTCTTCAGTTCCTTGGAATATTCCGAAGAAGGCAAATGCGGCTCTTCGCGCAATATCCCAGGCTGTCCATTCCTTTATCAATCGGTAGATCTGGATGTTGATGGCGCCAGCAGGATGGGCCTGTTCAGAAGGGAAGACGAGAAAAGTTAAGTGTAGTCCTACAGTCGCTTGTCAGTCGGTACTCATGCACAAACTAACCATGGGTGGAGAGACAATGGACAGGTAAGGCAAGGGGAGGAAAAGAACTAAAATGTACCTGATTGAATTCGAACTCTGGACGAACGTCGATGATGGTGTATCCCTGGTCTTTCTGAAGCAACAGAGCTTCCTTCGGACTGACCGATCGCACCTAGAGAAAAGGAAATAAATCGACGTGTAGGGAGACATGTCAGACATAAGCTGATCAAATCTATCACCACAAGCTGGAATGCAACCCAATTGTCATATGATCAGATTTTCCTAATCCTTGTAAAGCGAAAGCGCATGGTACCTTGGCCCTTAAGAGTGCTTCACGTTTGACTTTCCATTCGGCTTCAGCTGCAAGCAGAAAGTCACATCAGTTCCATGTGGATCAAGCAAGGGAGACGGAAGACTCATCCAAGAGTACATTTCAAGTGCAGAAAATCAAGCAGCAGCTAATTCTTCGTCCACGGAGAATCTGTGGACAAAGAATCCAAAAGCTCTGGACGCTCGAACACCAAAAAACCCGCTCGCACGCACGCACACCAAATTGAACTCGGAACCACAAAAGAAAGGAGGAAGATCGATGTAACAATACCAGGAGTTTTGGGAGTCTTGGTCTTGGTGGCCTCGCTGGTGACAACAAGAGCCCTTCGGTGGGCGGCAACTTTGTGACTCTGAGCGCGCTGGAGCTCGGCACAGTCTGGAGAAATCCTCAGACCAACGGGAGCTAGGCAAGAAGCTGCTCTACAACTCCTCACATCAACCGTCGTCGCTGCCACTGGGACCTTCGCTGACTGAGCTATGGCGGCAGAAGCACAGGTCGCCATCGCTGTTGCCATGTTGTCGATAAAATTCGAGCAGAGCAGAGCAGAGAAGACCGACAATTGAACTGTGCCGCCTCGTCCCTCACAAATTCACATTCACACTCCCTGGCTGACGGGTAGCAAATCTAGGAGCCCGGATACTTCGGAGGTGGTTGGGTGCACTCTTTCGGCGCTGGGACAAAACGCAGCAGCAGCAGCAGCGAAGGGATGGATCGACGGATGTCTACATGGGAAGGTAACTGGCCAGCTGAAATCAGGAACGGGAGTGAAAGGCGGGGGGTGCTCCTCGTCGAGCAGCCCGCACAATCGGCCTGTGCCGGTAAAAAAAAATCCGGGGAATTCGGCAGCTGACATTTCTCGAGATCTTATCCTCGCCGTGCTTCGCAAGGGCGAGTTCGCAGCTCGGCCAATCGACCAGTCACACGCCGAGAGATAGATGGGTCCATCCGTTGGCACCTGAACTGTTCCGATGCATCTCCAGCATCAATTTAGATTCGCTTGTCGACATGTAGCGCTGCGAATGAGACCCGAGATCGTCCCATCTCTGTGGGCCCCAGCGTGGAACACACAGACGGCCTGACGTAATTGCCAGAGCTGCAGCACAAATTCTCTGTCGCTTTTGTGTTACTTCAATGTCCCTCTTTTCCTCGCTTGCGATGCCAGTACAGTAGTACGTTGCTCTCCGTCAATTCGATTGGACCCTACAGGCCACCCTGCGGAGTCTGCACCTGATTCTCTGTAGGTGGCTTTTCGTTTTCTGCTTCTCGTTGGCCTTGGTGTTGAGCTAGAATTCGTGCGACCATCACAGGACCAGCTGTCTAGAGCTCTTCGTTCCAGACCGGGGATCACTTCGGAGGGTTGAAAGATGACAGAGGTAAGTCTCTTTTCGGCGGCTTCATCTCAATATGAAGCAGTCCCCTGATCATTAAAAACAATCTATTATTATCGTAGCTCGATCGAGACACGTTCATTCCCTCTGACTGGTTCAAACTAAAGTGGAAGTACTTCCACTAAGAATGGTTGAAAAGAAACTTCACATGACTGGTCTTACTCTAAACATCTACGTTCCAAGCAATTTGTTCGTGGTAATGCAAGTTACGTAATTGGAGAATACTGTTCTTCGATGGAGATCTTGCTGTGGTTCCATAGTCCGCAAGGTACTGATAGTTCTCTGCGCTCCGTCCGTCCAAACAGATAATCATCGACCGCTATCTAGTTGGTCTAGCCTAATAGTGCTTGTCAACCATTGTGTCACAACTTATTCCCATTGATTCTCTGAATTGACATGGACGATCGTGACGTCCTGAATTTGAAGTGGCCCTCTTGACTACATGCACACATATATTATTGAAACCCCCTTCAACATTCACTGAAATGAGCGGGTAGTATACCCAGGTTTGACTCATTTAATTACATAGATGTCCACTGTTACACTGAAATCTAAATTTTCACTCCGCATCACTTCCTTAAAAAGTATAGCAGGGTGAACTGCAGTTGGCTTTTCTCATAACTCTGATCCGTCGATTTTTGCGACAAGATTTTCTACTCCTAGTTTCCGTGCCCTGTCTGCGAACGAAGTGGCTGTGGTGGCACATTCAAATAGGCCTTCACAATCCGCTGGAGGAGGAATCTTCTCGTCATCAGCTATCTCTGTAAGAGGAGCGTCTCTATGTGGAGACCTCAAACTTTTCCCCGATTGACAGGCATGCATTGTCTTGCAATGCTGCGCTTCGTCTTCACGAATGTTCACGAAAACGTCATAAAGATTTTCTGTAGCAAGAGAAATGAGAGCTTATCAGAGACAGGTGAATGGTGTGATAATGTGAACATGAAAGAAAATAAGTCGTGATCGCAATCTTAACCCATCTACGAGAATGTTACGTACCTATCTTTGGTCTTCTTGTGTTCGGTTCAATGGCAGTTTGAAATTCATCTGCGAGATACCAGGAGGGGATCAGTGCTTACTTCTACAGGAAGTCCGAAAAGCCTTTGCATAATAACGTCTAAAGTCTGAACTGTGCACAACCGCAGACCTCGATCTCGCCGTCCAACCAAGAGACATAATAAAATTTGGACCAATGAAGAGAAGACTTCTGACCCTTTAGCTAATATCGGTTTATCTACTTCATCAAAATGACTAAAAGAAGGAAAAATCAAACACAGCGATTTTAGAAGTTGAGGCTAAATCAGTACCAAACATGTATAGATCTCCCTTAGTATAATATTGGACTGCGACCTCCGGAGCAGGAAGCAGCTTCAACTCATCTGCAGTCCGCCATGTGATGATTAAATTCTGCAAATAGTGACGTACTTGCTACAGAAACAAGTCTTAGGTTATGACGACCATACATCAAGGTAATGAGAGCCGCACATCTACACGGGGAAACTAAAAGTAAGAGTCAAGAGAACCAACCTCCATGTGACTTTATGAACTTATCGTAAGTAGAAAAAGCATGCTTCTCGACACATTCTGAGAAATGGTCTGCACAAGCAAATTAAAAATTTATTAGCCCACCTTATATATCGGCTCAACGCAGTCATAGGACGATATGCAGCCAGGTGAAGAAGTAAAGTCAATATTGTCCAAAGTACTTACATGCCATTCTAGGGCTAAGGAGATACATTAATACAGTAAGAAGATAGTATGCAACGGCAATGTGCTGAGCCAAAAATCTATCGATCCACCTCTCGTCTCCACCTAGAGCCTGAAATATCACAACTACGTCAGTGTCCGTATATGTTTCGATGTATACATCGAAATTGAAACCAGATTGAAGCTGATAAGTACCATCTTCACGAAGACGACCAAGAAAATATTTGCTCAAGATTTGCTCAACCGAAAACTTTCCCAATCACATATAAATGATATTGATCATTATTACACTGGGGAGTCAGCTGCAGCAGAACAGTTGATTCCCAGACGCCTATTTTGAGGTTTCTGCTGTCCCTCCCTTTAAGAGGGTTTTGTTCAGCTTAAGGTTCCATACACTAGATGGCTACTAGTAGAATTTCAAATATATCCATGTTCGGAAGCAGTAATAGGTTGGTCGAACTTTCTAGTCTGGACTGTGATCCTGTTCCCGCTGGAACTAATCTACCCAAAAAACCTCCAAAAACTCTAGAAAGCGTTTGTCCAAAGCCAGATGGTTTCAAGACCCTTGTTTCTACACAACAGTACCCTCCACTTCAAAATATCCCTTTATTCATGTGCTACAAGGACGTAATCTTAACACAAAAACGACATTTACCTCCATCACCAGAAGATGATGTAGTTCATTCCAGCTTTCTGCAAAGTGAATTTTGATGTAGTCGGCCCGTCTCCACCAACCAAAGCTCTCGTACATGTGTAAAACCGATACAAAAGCTACGACCATATAATTGAATAAGATGTTGCAACGAAACCGTGCAGGTAACAGAGGTAGAGACAGAAAATAGAGAGAAGTTCGAACCGAAACCACCTGAAATGTATCTGATAACACAAATATAATTTTGTAGTTTATATAATACAAACTTTATTCTCTGTGGATCATCCAAACGTTGTGACGTTACTAGCACTTTGAAAGGAATTCAATGCTGAGATGAGCACAGCAAAGTTCAAAAAGACTCACCAAAGTACGGAACTCTCGCGATGGTTTCTAAAACGTAAAACCTTGCGTACAAGCGCTTCGCGTACAGAGTCTCTAGTATCTTCACAACAGTCTCCTGAGCTAGGCAAACAAAACAAGAAGATGTTAGACGATTACATACTAACAAAACAAAACTAAAAAATGATGATACATAAACAAGGACTATCCAGCTAAATAAATGTGAAGGAAAAAAACTGATGGTTCTATCTTTCTCTTACTGAACCTTTCAAACAGCCCACACTATGAACCTTTCCTCCTCACATACAAATTTATTTGCTCCCTCTATTTCATTCACCATCATCACTCACTGGCACTCTCTTGCCCTCCCGCATGGTCTATGAACGCAAGAGTCTGACTGACCCAACTTTCCAAGTACGGTCTTAGCCGTACTTGGAAAGTTCACCAACCGATGAAAACCAGCGAAAACTGAAAATGCACTTCTGCTCAAACTACAGCTTTTTAAATAAAGGGAGAATACAAAAAGCCGATATAAATATGAATGGTTGGAGAACTGAATTTTACAGTGGCAAAGGTGTTGAATCCATGTTCCGCAGCAATCACCCACTTCTCCAAACCTTGAGGCGATTCCTCATTTTCAATAATGGGCTCTTCTGCAAGCACTGACTTAGGGACGGTCATCCGCCTTCTGTCATCCGCATCGAAATATTGCAAACTTTGTTAGTGTTGCATAGCCTACTTTAATTATTCAGCCTATTGCTAAAGCTATGGAATTCCTATGAATTACAAGCGCAAGCCCAACTTTAACGAGTGAAAACTAGAAATGAATCGAGTTTCTGTAAGTAATTTATAGAGCTCAAGGTGTGATAATCAAAGAGTCAAGGTACAATTTGTGACATATGGTCTAGCCCTCCACATCAGACCACTCTTCAGGTTCAGAAACACCGTCAAATAGAGAAGCTGGATACAAAGTTCGTAGGTTTGAGGAACTCAACGAACTGCAGTCCAGCTTGTACAATTCACTGATCACCAAGTGGAGTATAAAGTCTAAATCTCGGTTTTAAAGAATTTTCCAAAGAACAAAAATCTTGAATTAACCTCCATCGGACTTGACACTGTGTAGCTCACCATACCATTCTGAAATTGGCCATGAAAGGATTACGACTATAGCTCAAGTGCCAAAACTTGTTTGAAACACTGATCGTTAAAATCCGTGCCATAGAGAGAAGCACGAAATCAGCTGCACAAACAGAGAACAGACCTGAATGTGCCAGCACGAGGACCCGCTTTCGAAATCGAGCTCGTCAAGAGAAGCTGCAAAGAATTTCCTGACCCCACAAACTGCGAAGTGAATCGAACGGGCTTCCCGCCCACAGCCAAAATCGGCCCATTCCGACCCGTTCGGGTGCAACAGCCAAAACCTTGGGACTCCGATGGCACACAGCGATTATATACACAATTCAGAGGAGCAATCCTCAGACCAGACGCCATCAATCACACTGCGAGAACCCCTAATTCCTCGCAAAGCCCAGAAGAGGAACGTGCGACGACACTCAGCCCCGACCCGAGCAATTCGAGCAATTCGAGAAACGGTGATCCATCAAGCGAACATCAGAGAACAGTCCAAACCGAAGGAATCCGAGCACAGCGTGGCACAAATATCACACGGGCCGGATCGTCGTCAACCGCGGACGTATTCGTTCCGTGTAGGGATCGTTCTTTGCTTCTTCTTTCCTTCTGCTCTTGCTTGCGAGGTTGATTGGGCTCGGGGTGCTTGCTGCCTGGAGAACCCAAGTGGCCCCAGTGTCGAAGATCTTTCGCGTCGGCGGCGTGGGTCCCACGGAGGGCGACGATAGCGCATGCAGATGCATCGTCTCGTCCACCGATTGGCACGCCAATATCTGCGCCCGTGCGAGCGAGAGTCCGAGCCCCACGGTGCTCTTCCCCTCGTTCATGCCAGTCCTCTCCGTGCATTGTCGAATACGCAGCAGTGAGCTAGAACGGCCACGACTTCTCCTTCAGGTTTTCGGACAGAAATTGAGTTCGTATGAGATACAGCATTGACTGTCGTTGGATTTTTTTAGGGGCAGGTGAGATTTTCCTCACAAATTCCGTGACGAGCTTCAGGAACCAACACAGTAGAGTATATACTCATTCGGAGCCCCGAGGCACGACACGGAAGCATTTTTATGATGAATTTAATGCAGCCATTCTAGCGGTACAGACAGATTCCTGGCACGCGGTTCAACTGGGTTTAATTGAAACGTTTGTGTTCGTGTAAAGAGTGTTCAGAGATTCACCATATTGACAAAGCGATTTGAAAAAGCGAGGAGAGTAATCATGGATTCCCGAGGCAACATCAAAGAAGCTGGGACGAACATGGGCGACGAGACTTCGAAAACACCGATAACTCCTAATGCAACACCAGCAGTTCAACGGGACCTTCGATTAATAGAGGATGTAAGAGAGTCAAGTCATTGGAGGGGCGCATATATAAACGAGGAATTTAAGTGCGGATAAAAACTTCGTGACTTTTAAAATTATCCATGTTTCTTTCATCATTGTACGTGTAAAAATATATTTCGATCATGATCATCAAAACCCTTACACACGTACTTCCTCACAAAATCTCTCAATCTCATAATTAGACATATGTTTGTTTTATATCTCTCCAAATGAAATCAAATCTTAGGACAGAAGAATCCCTGTATCATTGGATCATTTTAGTTATTTTTTATGATTTTGATCAGAATAAAATTTTATTTTTAAAAAAATAAATCTTCTATGTAAGTAATGAAATGAATATTAATTTTGCATTTAAAAAAAATCCAATCTATTCCTCTGTATTTCTACTAAAAATATAATTAAGATCGTGATAACAATCCATATAACATAAAAAAATATTCAAGATTAGCAAAATAATAAACATTGAATGAATTTTGATGCTTAAAATAAAAATTGATAAAATTTAGTCTGAAAAAGTTCAAATTTAAAAAAAAATTAAAAAAAAATTAAATTTAAGTTTGACAAAATTTGCACAAACTGCATTTAATTATACTATATCATACTGTTTTAAAACATTATATTTCATTTAATGATTTGACAAGAGTAAAGAAAACTATACAAATTTTTTTCCCAAATTACGGTGGACCTCCAGCTACTTCAATGTACCCAAATTTCTTTCAGTTCAAAATTTAAGAATTTTGTTATATCTAATGAATTTTGCTAGATTCAAATATATTTTAAAAAATATTTAATCTAAAATATTTTAATTTATTCTTGAAATAATAAAATTTTGAGAATAAACTAGTATATAATGATTTTATGTTATATGTTTATTTCTTTATCATATTTTATTTATTCTATCAAAAATTTTAAATCTGTTTTCTTAAAATTTTTGTTTTGATACCAGTACATTAATATTTTCATATCATGTGTATCATTTTTCAATTAAAAATTTTAATAATTTCATATTACTTTGATTTGATGAAAATTCTTAAATGTTTAAAAATTGATATAATAAATGAATTTAGTATTGAAGAATTTGAATTAAATGGAAATATTTGAAATTCTAAATATCTTGCAAAATTTTTACGAAATTGAAATTATACGTAGCCAAAAGCATGTTTAATTGTATTTGATTCTTAGCTATTTTAATATCATAAATTTTAAAATAATTTGATTATTATTAGCACAAGGGAGACTTATGAGTAATTTAGTAAATTTCTATGAAATTTTGCATCATACTTCATAACACTTAGGTTTCATAAATCAAAACTATAACGCTGGAAAATAAATTTGTGATTTTGAGACAATTCAAATAATTTACTACATTGAAATATTTTTATGTGTTTTACAATCTAATCAAATATGACCATATAGGATTGAGGTACTAATGTTGGCCCATCCATTTTGAAACATGTAATGTTGAAATTCAAACAATCTGTCAAGAATGTTTTTTAAACAATAATGATTATCAACGCCAAACTCGTAATACCAATCAACCCAATTTGTAGCAAAATTCAATGTCTACAAATAATGTTCTCGGGTGTGAACATTTGAACAGAAAATAAAGAAAATTCAAACTTTTGATCATGAAGAGAATCTAATTCTAAATCCGTACCACATCGCCACTTTCCATATTCTTGAAAAAGATGGTATCTCCTAAACAAATAATATTTTTACGTGGTACGGAAGTACAACTGCATTCAGACTATGTACGAGGTTGAATCCCACCGTTCGAGGAAGAATTTCGAAGCACATAGGAGACCCGGCGGCATTGGCTGGCCACGCCGGTTTCGCTCTTGTTCGTAGCAAGCAGGGGGCGTTGCTGGGCGAGGTTTGCGCTTGTGAATTTCGCCCAAGACTCTGTGCTTCTGATTTCGGGCTCACGGCGAGGCGAGCAAGAATGCATCGTTGCCTTTCTGAAGATGGTGTGAACTAAGTATCAGGTGCGTTCATGGTTCTCCTTTCTTTCTGCGTGTGAGGTTTGTGTGCCCGATAGCAATCAGCAAGTTTGACATGTTGCCGGAGCCAATGTTGATGTACTAGAAAACTCGAGAGTTCAGTGAATTGTTTCGAGACGATTTGATGTTCAGGCAGAAAGACTGTCGCTTCTAGCTCGGGTCGACATTCTGTATGCCGTTCAGATAGGCGGCATTTGCCGAAGTTTCGCATTTTGAATTGGAGTTTTCAGAATTTCGTGAGACAACCCTGGAAATGAGAGTCGACTCTCGAGAGATTCGCTGTTGTGTAAGGGTGAGAATGTCGAACAATGCACTTCAGGCCTGGGGCAAACGCATTATGATGCTTATGTTTCCAGTTTCTTCCACTCTCTGTGCTGGAATCATACACACTTTCCATGTTTGTATGAGTCGAGCACCCTCATCAATCTTCGGCATGAAACATATCTTGTTTTCTGAAACTTAGTATTCGTTTCTCCCACATTTTTCTCTGATATTACAATCAATTTGGGATTTTTCCAGTCGGATAGCCCAGGCGTTGACGGAAACTTCGATATAAAGCTACATTGGTTACTTGCATCAAGCTCCTCTGATTCTCTGTCGACTTTCTTACTGTTCAGAGGAGTTTTTTTAATGAATTTTACATCCGTCAGGACTTACTCCAGGCGTTAGTTTTTGTTCAAACAGACAGTTTTTCGTGCTTTACCTATCTGAGTGCCGATTGCTGGATAAGTGCAAATCTGCCACTTCGGGCAAATCTCTTGTTGTTGTCTCCAGTTATTTTCAAATGATCTTTCAGTGTCATCTTTTGAGAAATTCAGGTTTACTACCGACATCCTTTTGCATCATTTGTTTTTAGAAATTTCAGTGATACCCTAGTTGACTTTGTCGTATTTTGTATTTTTTCAATTCTCGCTGTTATGCCAGGGATAAGAAAGATTGTTACATTCTGTGTATCTTCTTCGTGAAGTAGTTTTGATTTGTTGACGTCGCCAGAACACAGTTTAGTTGATTCGAAGAAATACAATATTGTTTGTGGCTTATTCTCACACTCTTTTTCTTCTGTAAGATTCCCATCGTGACACTCAGTGTGTTAATTATCTGATAGTTCTTCGTTGCAGTGCAATTTTTGTCAACATCAAAGACTTTATTTCCAGCTCTATCATTGGTGAATCAGTTTGGATAAAAAATTGCAGTAGTAGGGAGCGTTAGGATGTGCCGAACACCAGTTCTTGAATAATGAAGCAACTAGATTTTTTCCAGATCTTGCCATAGGAACTAATGCAGCTTGCTCCAGATTCTTCCTTGCATGTTTGAGTCCCTTAAGCTAGAAAGAAGAAGTGAAAGTTGATGTATGTATTCAGCCGATGTATCGGACGAATTTGTTTGAATTTTGAAACATCTCATCGTTCCAACTCTTGTAATTATGAAAAATTCAAATTTTGCTTTTATGTAGTCTCTGGTTTGCTTATCATTATGTTCTCATGGGTCTTTTTACGGCTGTATTTACAGGTCCATCATCAACTTTGGCAATTTAGGCAGTGACCTAGTGGTGCAGAGAAGAACATCTTGACCGGAATTTATGAGTTAGCTATTTCTATCGTCTGTAAGAATGAGAGACTTCCGTGGAGATGGGAGGGAGGCGAAGGCGGGGGACTCTGACTATCGGGTCGACTGGAAAGGAGAAAGAGACATGAGGACGGAAAGGAAAGAGAGCAGAGACCACCGAGGAGGAGAGTCTCGGGGAGAAGGCCGAGAAGGAAGGCGAGGAGGTGAAGGCAGGGAGTCTAGCAGAGGTGGTGGTCTTAGTGAATCACGAGGACTCAAGTCTGACGACATCCGCATGAGCATGCAAGAAGCAGGAGAGGTGAGAGAAAGTTGGGGAAGTCGAAGTTTTTTAAAACATCACGTTGAAGAGGAAGGGGAGATTGGAGAGTTCACAGATGACGCAGTCGCAGAGAGCACGAGAGTGGAGAGCCGGAAAAGAGGAGATACTCGAGATGAGAGAGACCGAGAGGAGCCTCGGTTTATGTCGTCTCGAGATAAGATCGAGAGGAGGGGTGATTTGCAGGTGCATATATCCTTTCAGTCCTCCTCTGCGCAAAGAGAGAGCCTGCGAGAGGAGAAAGAGAAAGAAAGGGAGCGCTTTGAAAAGGAGAAAGAGAAGGAGAAGGAGAAAGATCGGATGAAGGACAAGGAGCGGCATAAGGAGGAGAGCGCAAAGGAGAAACCCAGTGGCAAAGAGGCGGAAGTTGATAGTTGGAAAGACAGTGAGAGTTTTCGCAGACAGGGAAATACAGACCAAGAAGACAAAGATCATAATGTAAGTGAGAGGACGGAGAAGCAGAGATCCACTGTAACTGCCGAGTTTGATGAGGCCACAGTTGAGACCAGTGCTGTGAGAGATGCCGAGGACACCAATAAGGATAGCCTTGACGCCGAGGTGAAAGAGACAAAAGAGCTGGAAAAGAACAAGATGGACCTTGGTGAGGAAGATAAAGGAAAGAGAAAGATTAGAGACAGCGATAGAGATAGAGAAGATACCAACGCAGATGCAGAAGATTACGAGAGGGAAGCGGTGTCTAGCTATGGTATACAACGAAAGAGGATGCTGCGCCCTCGAGGACACTACCAGGCAGCTAGCAGGGAGGTAAGACCTCGCTTTCGTGCCAAGGATCCTGAGGCTTACTCTAGCCGGACAGCAGAGTCATGCACTTTGTTGTATCGTGTTGGTGAAGGACTACAGGAGGAAATGCGCAAGATTCGTAAGGATTATGAAGGGAGGTTACCCACGATGGGTTCTGACATGCAAAGCGTGCATAGTGCCCCTACAATTGAAGTCCGAATTCCTGCAGAGTTAGCAACTACATCGAATCGACAGGTTCAGGGTAGTCAGCTGTGGGGCACTGATGTCTACACTGATGACTCAGACTTGGTGGCAGTTCTTATGCATACTGGCTATTACATACCAAATGCGAATTCCCCTCCATCATCAATTTTGGAGATAAGAGTGACAATCCGGATTCTACCTCCACAAGAGAATTATCACTCTACCTTGAGGAACAATTTGCGGTCTCGGGCTTGGGGGGCGGCAGGTGGCTGTAGCTACAGTGCGGATCACTGTCATCTTTTGAAAAAAGATGGCGGAAAAATTCAGCTCGAACCCCGATTGATCTTCACTCCAGTATATGCACCAACACTTGCCCCTGCTGTCACCGAACGGACAGTCACAACTCGTGCAGTATCTATGAGTTCTTACAGGCAGCAACGGTTTGTCCAGGAAGTTACTATCCAGTATAATTTGTGCAATGAGCCTTGGCTCAAGTATAACATGAATATAGTTGCTGACAAGGGTTTGAAAAAATCTCAGTACACCTCCGCTCGCATCAAGAAAGGTGACGTCCTATACGTAGAGACTCATTCCAACCGTTATGAGCTTTCGTACGAGGAGCCGAAATCTTCTGGAGCTATCATTCCTGCAATATCTGAGAAGGGAAAGGAGAAAGCAGAAGGCACTGAGAAGCCTCCACCTCAGACATTCTCTTGTTCTCATGGAGAGAAAAACCACCAAACACAGATAGTCCCTGTCAGTGACAAAGCAAGTGCATCCACTCCTGGTGAGAAATTTAGGTGGACTCATTGTAAATGGCCCTTACCTCTTGTGGCTATGCGTGCGAAAGGTGTACCACTTCCTCCCGATTGTATCAAGGTGTTGGAGTCGGGCTTGGGATGGGAGGAGGTTTTGTGGTCACCTGCAGGTGTATGTGTGCGTGGCAAAGAGTATCCTCTCGCAAGGGCGCAGTTTGTGTCTCGGAACAGCTGAGGACACAAAGATCTGAGTTACTTCGTCCACTTTCGAAAAGTCTGATTGATCTTCCGAAGAAGCCAGATGACGAGTTTCTTTCCAAGCAGCAGACGTGCTAGGTCTGACGCTGCACGAAATGGCTGATGGAGGCTGAAAACAGTCTTGTGTCCAATCCCTGTGTAAAATGACTGGCAGAGAGATTGAGGTGAAAGAAGATGTGTCGTTTGCTGAACATGGTTGAAAGTCCTACTCAATTTTGGAACCCCTATTCTTCCGAGGTAGGACTTATTATAGAACCTGACCCATTCTGATTAAAGGACTGTCCATATTACTCTGTATACTTCCGGGCTCTCGTAAGCAGCGCGTGGCAGTCTCAGATTTCCTTCATGGTGCGTTGTGTTGTTACAGGGAGTGGACGCTTTCATAGGTGAAAGCACTGTACGTGACCGTTCCGAAGGTGTACAAAGTCGGGGTGGAATCAGAACTGTCTTCACCAGATTGATCAGCCGGATTAATTATCAATCTTCAAGCCACCGTCAGATGGAAAATCCAGTGATCTTTGTACAGAATGATAGTTAGAGGATCCGAGGCAGTTAAAAGCACATGGTGCTTCGATTTCAGAACGTTGCAGTAGACTGTCGTCCTTCTTGAAGGACTCTACATAGGAATGGGCATTTTATTTGGTCTCCAGAACTTGATTTCTGTTCTTTAGTGAAACTTTGAAATGTCAGATTAGAAGGCAGTGACAGAACCAAGTATGCTTGTCTGGTCGCCAAATTATCCTCGATTTTAAGGCAGTGATGCACGGAGTATTGAGTACTCCACATAATCTGAAGGCTCCGAAGACAGCTATCAGGAATTGTTTCATGTCGTAGATCTGAGGAGCATTTTTGTTCTATGACATTCGTTTCGGGACTATTCTTGTGCCATTAGGCCCTCCTTTCCAACCTGAAATCCAAGGAGCTACTTCAGGCACTTAATATCATATCAAATTATGCCCTTGTCTGCCATCACTGTACCAATGACGAGCATATAACTTGGTCCGGGCTACCGACTCAATCGAGTACGTTTTATTTAGACTACTTCCACACGAAACTACCGGTCTATACCAGATCGAGCCCGCGACTCATATTCATGGTATATTCAAGGAAAAAGGTAACACCTAAAGCGAAAAGAAGCCACAGTTTTAGATTCAGGAGAATATAGGTTACCAGAGCATCGGTGCGAAATTTTACTAACCCATGGGTCAGAAGAAACGCCGGTTGTACGCAATATCATTGACCACAAAATACTGCCCTTAGAAATCATCGAAACAGTGTTCGAGTTGAAGAACGCGGAAACGCATGAAATAATTATAGACTTCAGTTAAAAAGGTAATTACAAAGAATTGGTGGAGCATGTTTGGCCACCGGAACGGACGCTACGTACGTCTCAGTAAGGCCACCATTAAACTTTTACCGATAGCACCATTAATTACTGCCGTGGCAGCCTGGAGGCGGTTTGCATTCAGAATCACTGGAGACACACATAACAGGAACTTGTATTAGGAAAAGAACTGTTGTCTATATTGAATTGAAGTTGTAAACAAGCACAAGCTATACCCCACGCCACCATTGCTCTGCATGTCTGTTTTGACCTAAAATGTTCGGGAGTCGTATCTGGCTCCCAGAAGACGCTGAAGACGCTGAATTCAAGTAAGTACAAAATGATGAGTCTATAAAAGAAATACCTTCTAAAGCCACAATATTTGAAGTGAGTATCAAGAGGTCGACCATTAGACCCATGAGAAAAGAGAACTCCCAAACCTGCATATCAGAGACCCGAAGACAGTTTTTTTATCTCGTTCCAGATGGGTTATGGACAGATCAGAAAGTCACGCTGACTATTGGTAGAAAAACTGTAATTAAATATCAAAGCTATATTGACACAGGAAGATCAATAAGTATGTAATAGCTGTCGCTTACTGAAGATGGTAAAAAAATCACATCATGAACAACAAATATGTCAGCCATGAGCACACACTATGGATTCTGTAATACTGCATGCTCTACGTACCATCATTGCGAAGACAAAAAATTTGAAATGGCTTGAAAAAAGGATTGCCAAAAAAATGTCCTTATACCTGCATGGACGAGTTACAAGAGAATCGTCATACGTCTAACTGGATATTCCAAAATCCCCATAGATGTATCTCACACTATTCAGATGGCAAGAGCCTTTGAACGATCAAAACCAGAAAAGCATCATCTCTGAAGGCACGTTCAGACTTCAGACAGGAGCTAAAATCTTCATCCGTTGGGGAAACATGTATATCAAAGAGACTAAAAATAAGAGCAAAAAAGCAAGAGATAATGAGAAGACGAAGCAGCTTAAGTGACGGTCATGTGCTAGAAATCTGATGGTAAACTGCGCTTAGAAATTTCCTGAACAAGGATACAAGAACTCACTATGACTATTTACTTACTTGGATTTGTCATGATACTTTGTCTTGGACAAGATACTGACGGTGGCTATTATCACGAGCAGGTAAACACAGTTCAGACATCCCACTTGTAGAACAACCTGCAAAATATTTCAAAGTCAGATGAGCTCCCAATCTTAACGTATTCTTCACGACCGAAGCTCTCTTCGGTCGTGTAAACAGACATGTAACAAAAGAGCCATAGTTGCAGCTGTCTTCTTCATGCAGCCAGAGAGCAACAAACTATGCATGTCTACAATTTAACACACTCTTCTGGTATTCTATTTCTTAGGTACCTATGTAACATCATGTATTCAAAGAGCTATAAAGAATCGTTAGTTACACAGTAAATCTGATGTGACTTCACTGAACCTTTCCGGCTGTGGTGAAGAAGCGAGTAAGATTGTCCCACTCAATTTTCACCGTTTCATCACCAGGATTGGCCCATCTCCCTACAAGGCAAAGTCTTTGAACGTAAAAATATCATAAAAGATAGACAAACTGAATTACGCTCACAAATTGCAGAAGAACGGAAGAACCTGGCCACAAAATGGTAGTGCTGATTAGAGTTTCAAAGGCGAAAAGAAGTGTATTTCCACGACATTCAATGATAAGACGACGATGGACTAAGAAGGAGATGCGTGTGCACGGTTAGAGACCAGTGTCTCCTCTTCCATAAATATACTAATGAATCTGAGAACTTCCATCATATAGCCAGTCAAGCTGGTGATATTTGATTGATCTAGGGATGAAGTAACGAAGCATACAGGCATCAAGAAGCAACGATATGAGAGTTGCCTTCCAGACGAGAGCCTGCATAAAAAAAGGATAAAAAGTAAACATTGACGCCTTGGAATGTTTGAAGAAGGATAGCAGCAATATGCTTTAGAAATGGAGTTCACACAAGTAACGGGTCTTCCTTGCATCACAACTCTCTAATTTGCCTCAAGATAAGAGAATAGGAACGCAAATAGTTCGACGGAAGCATTATCTGTAACAAAAACTTGCTGGACTAAGTATATCTGGTGCTACTCTTAAGAAGATGTTGACTTCATCCCTCTACTTAGGGCTGCCGTGACAAAGGCTCGTCTGACAATTAATGCGCACAGAAATAAAACTAATTTGTAAGTAAAAAACTGATTCAAAAATTGAAGATGTGTTTATTTCAGCCTAGAAGATTTGTACCTGCAAGTTGAGTTTGTTGAGCCTGGGATAATTGAAAAAGACATGCCGATATGCCTCATACTTGTGCAATATTACGTCCATTATCACAATCTGCATCCACTTACAAACTCAATTCAAATCTTGCTCCAGTAAACCCCAGTGCCGAATGTTTTGATTTCTGACTCTTGGACTACTTCCTGAGATGGAGTTTGAAGGACAAGAAGTATACTAATCCACATACGTTTTCCACTCAGAAATGAAATACTGGTAACAATCCCAAGAGAATCGCTAGTATACTTATGGAATAAGGGTTTAGGGTACCATGATTTCGTATTCAACATACTTGTCCACTATTCCTCCACAAGTAGCCTGCAAACAAGATTCTCATTCAGATTCCAAACAAACAAAATGCTGCGTAGACCAGACATCTCGCTTTCAGCCGAAATCATACTGGAAGAAGGTATTTATTTAGCAAAAAGGTAGTACACCTACACTCAGGTTCAGGAGAAAACACATGCATCTTGCAACTCTTGTATCAAAAAGAATCTGCTTACACAATTGGAAAGTCGAATGTTTCCAGGCGAGTACTCAATATAGACAGAAAGGACAGATCTGCCACAATTTACGCACACCATAGAGACTTGGCTATCCAGAGATTCTGCTCCTCCTCCGTGGACTCTGCTGCCATTCATGTCCGTCCCCAGGTCTTTATCTTCTTTCCAATCCGCACGATTGTCAGTGTTTCCAGCCTTGGCCTCCCTCCCACCTCCAAAGGTATCTCCCATTTTATTAGATTGAGAAAAGGTATAACCCGTGCCGTATAATAGTTCAAACTCAGGGTGTTGTCTACATCTTCGAAGTCAGTGATGTACCTTCAAGCAAGACCATCACAGATATGTTTGAATGTCTGCAACATGGCGAATGTATCAAGGAACTATACCAAGCAAACGTTGGTCTATCAAAATGTAAAGATACAAACATCCGCTCAACCAGACTCGACTTCATACTTCTGATCTCTAGCTTAAAGATGTTCTCATTAAACATTATGATATATATATGAAAGTAGCAAGTTCTCTAGTTTTTGTCAGTAGCAAGATGTTTTGTGGCGCAAAATCGAAGAAAAATTCACAGACCCATATTCTATCACGGTTGAAGACAGAGAGAAGTCAGCCTCCGTTCGACATACCTCGAATGACACTCAAAGGCCCAATCTCCAAAGCGACCGCATGAGAGAAGAAGAGCACGCAGATCGCCAGAGCCAAAAACGACTGCATTGGCACCATATTCAGCAGCTCGAAACGTACTCCCATTCTCCACTTTCTCGTAAGGATCTCCGGAGTCCAACAAAACCTGTCTTCACCGACTCCTCATGCGTCGAAAGGCGGTAGCTACACAACCAGCCCAGCCTAACCAGTTTTACCGCCTTCGACGGCGTAAGTAGCAAGAGATTCCTTGCTCGACGTTATAGAAAAATGCACACGAGAAAATTCGACTGGACCTAGGAGCTGCCTCATCTCTCCGCACTCACAACCTAAATAGAATTCATCAGCTCGCTCCAGTCCGCTACTGCTACTGCTGCTGCCGCTGCCGCCGGTAACCTCCAAATCCTCTGCTTCTTCTTCTCTTCACCAACGAGCAAAACAACGTCGAATGAAATTCTGCCAAAACGCGGAGCGAATGATTGAACCCGTGACTGAATGATTGACCGATTGATCGCTCCGACTGTCGATCGCTGCCTAATTGCGGAAGAACCCGAGCACATGCGAACGATTGATGTGGCCAGTCGAGGGATCAATCAATTCTTTTCTCTTGGAATCACAATTCTAGCTCCAGAAAAGCAAACGAGTCTCTGGTTGACTGTACGCATACCACCGAACAAATGCAGGAGAATTGGAGTACATTTTCCCGATCTCCCATTCACACAACGATCCGTACCGTCTGCATCCACTCGAGCTGTCAGAGACGCGCAGGCGCAACTCTAGAGCGCTATCGTACGGAGTTTTGTCAAAACCTGCTTCTCATTCACGCTCCGGCTTGCATCTCCAGTCCCCACCTCGGATCTGCGTGTCCTACCAGGCTTTTGACTTGTACCAAAGTCCAAAACATGTTCTGCCTGATTTGTAACAGCATATTGTGAGGGTTCGTCGGACCTCTTCGTTCCGGATTCTTTTCTTATTCAGAAGTTACGTAGACTTGCATGACGACGAATTCTTTTTCATATTTAGATTCCACATTTCTCTTCCAGACTTCTAGAAGAGGTAAGAATCCCGAGCTGTGTAAAGCATACGTATTAAAACTGTTGGCAAAGGAAAGTGCTGCATGTCCTCCTAGTTTTGTAGATCAGGGTCTGTTGACATATTATGAACATTCAGTAATTCACGTGTTCCTCCTTACAAAGGTTTTGATTTGTGAAGGTCGGATCCAACTTCTCAGATCGAACTTATGAAAGTTTTGGAAGAAAAACAAATACTTCACATCCAGCATGCTCAATCCTAGCCATAATCAAGAGCCCAATTTACTTCTGGATAAATATTGGCAAAGTAGGCGAAATGTGGATGCAGAAGTCGGGGGCACATTCGACCGTACAAAAGAATCACGCCAAAATTGGATCAAGACAGAAGGAACTGAGAAGAAAAAAGGGGACCTGGCAAAAGGCCTAAAAGAGCATATTTAAAGCAGAAGGGGAATTTTGGAAGTAAATTTATTTTTTACCTGATGATGAGTTCATCGTTCGCAGGCCAATCGGAGAGCGAGGAAGGAGAACAGAGGGAATAAATAGGAAAAGCAGTCCAGCTTGGAGCCCTGGAGCCTGGAACCTGGAGCCGTCACTGTCAAGCTTATCGTAACGACTCAGGCCTCCGCCCGATGCTCGGGCTGCTCGGAAAGCCACACTGACGGACTGACTGTCTGACGGACGGAAAGTTGGACGGACAGACGGACGGACGGGCGTCGCCTCAGCCACGCTGAAATTTGAAAAGTGCCCCGGCCATTCTTTAACGGAATAATCCATCCCCATGCGACACGGATGTTACAACCGCCATTCTCACCCCTTCGAATTTGCACCGTCCGATGACCCATCCGGCGGCGCACATGCCCCGGGATGTGGAGACAAACGGAACTACGCTCGAGCGTGCTACGTCCGGTCGAACGAACGACGGAACGAACGAACGTCGTGGGGTCGTCGTCGTCGTCTGTTCTTCCGGAGCTCGAGGGACGGAAGTGGCCCAATCCTTCGGCTCCTCGAGCCCGAAGCTGCGTCTCTGCGTCTGCGTGTCCGAAGAAGCGTTCGGAGGCGCTTGATTGATACCCCGATTGACGACCACATCAATCGTTCGCATGTGCTCGGGTTCATCCGCAATTAGGCAGCCGGGCCGAGCGACAGTCGGAGCGATCAATCGGTCAATCATTCAGTCATGGGTTCAATCATTCGCTCCGCGTTTTGGCAGAATTTCATTCGACGTTGTATCGCTCGGTGGTGAAGAAGAAGAAGAAGCAGAGGAGTTGGAGGTTACCGGCGGCAGCAGCAGTAGCAGTAGCGGACTGGAGCGAGCGAGCTGATGAATTCTATTTAGGTTGTGTGTGCGGTGCTGAGTGCGGAGAGATGAGGCAGCTCCTAGGTCCAGTCGAATTTTCTCGTGTGCAATTTTCTACAAAGTCGAGGAAGTAATCTCTCTCTACTTACGCCGTCGAAGGCGGCAAAACTGGTTAGGCTGGGCTGGTTGTGTAGCTCTACCGCTTTTCGACGCATGAGGAGTCGGTGAAGACAGGTTTTGTTGGACTCCGGAGGTCCTTACGAGAAAGTGGAGAATGGGAGTAAGTTTCGAGCTGCTGAATATGGTGCAAATGCAGTCGCTTTTGGCTCTGGCGATCTGTGTACTCTTCTTCACTCATGCGGTCGCTTTGGAGATTGGGCCTTTGAGTTCCATTCGAGGTATGTCAAACGAAGGCTGACTTCTTTCTGTCTTCAACCGTGATAGTATAAGGGTCTGTGAATTTTTTTTCAATTTTGCGGCACAGAAGATGTTGCTACTGCCAAGAACCTGTTCCTCTCTTCCATCAAACTTCACTGAAGTGCTTTATTAAAATCTTCGGAGCCCGCATGGATTAGGAGGTAGACATGATCGTCTTTTGATCAGCTGTTTTAATTCTGGGGTTTCCAGGCTAATAGAGTTTTCTTTTACTATGAGTGCTCATGTCTGTCGATTGTGGACTGGAACTTTACACCGCTGACTTATCGGGGTAGCCTTCTTGTCGTGCTTCTCACTTTGCACATTTTTCCTTCCACGTACTTGAGCATTCAAAACCTTTCAATCAGCAAGTTATTTTCTCTGGTATACGAATTTGCCATAATGGGTCCTGCCACTTTGCAGTTTTGGCGTCAAATTTACTACTAAAATATTTATGCTTACCGGATACCATAATCTTCCGGCCTCCTTACTGTGGGAATTAGATGGAAAGCAAGTTCTTCTCATGAAAATTACGATGCAGTGTTTAAGTGATCGGTACAGAATAAGTTTAAGATCAGTAATAAGTTTTTTCAGCTTTCTTCCGAGTAAAGTGATATCTTTCTGAAGCGGGGCACTTGATGCAGACGTAGGGGTGAACAAGTCTGTTATTATACAGCCCCTTTCCCTCGAAGGGTTCGTGGAGGAATCTCCAGGAATGAAACCTGGTGATCTGGTGGTAGCCACTCGCTTGCGAGTCCCTGGGATATCCCGGTTGCAGCATGTGGATAAGTTTTACCACACATATCGAATCAAGGTTGAAACTCCTAGTCGAGGCGGGGGTTTCTTTACAGGAACTCCAAAAATTGATGTTTGTGTTCATCAGTAAGTTTTTTCTCTTCCCAATGTGTACTTTATATTGTGGCTTTTACTAGTGCTTGTATTTCTACTTATCATCTTGTTTGCATCACAAGTTTTGTTGGGTCCTCACGAGCTGGCGCCCGAAAATTGGGAAAATGCTTATGTGTGAAGTTTCTTGTCAAAGAAGGTCTTTGGAACTCCGTGGATTTACCTTATTATGATGATGTTTCTCTTCGTGTTATAATAAGAACTGGGTAATTGTTGCAACTTTTCTAAAAAGGGTTCGATGGTCCTATCTTTGTTACAGGAATGAGATTATGGGTTTAGCTCAATGTGGCAAAGAGAGTTGGCGAGCCCTTGACAAGGCAGGATCGTGGAGTGGTGGCTTTTCTCCGTTTGAGACCAAATTTATTGATATCCGAATAGCAGAACCACTTTCAGACCTTCCAATCGTTGTTTCCGTGCTTGATGGTACTTTCTCTCTCAAAGTGGAAGATGCTTTTCTCTTTTCTTAATAGGGGATATCTCAAGGTCCGAATTTTTTCTTCAGAACCACATCCATACAAGTGTTTTGGATGTTCTGGATGATGGTGTAGTCGCCTTGGAAGCATGACCCTCTTAATAAGCTTTGCGTTAGTTTTCGACTGGAGTGAAGTGACCTGGTTTTAGTGGTGTGCTGTTTTTGCTGTTTATGAATCATCGTATCGTTTGCAGCTCTCAACCATTACATCTAGACTTTAACCCAACGTTTGCTTCTCTGGTCCCAGAATCTAGTGAATACAGGTTGGTGTTTCTGGGGCTGGGAACGATTCTGTTGATACTGGCGCCTATAGTCAGTGGATGGGTTCCATTCTATTACACCACCGCGATGACATTGGGCATAATTATGATTGTCCTTGTTATCGTCTATCAGGTACTATATTGCCACCCATCGATTGCACCAATTTGCACACGTATTTGATACCTCGATGTCTGATTGTTTTATCATGCATTTCCTAATGTTATTGATTCGATACAGCAATTACGTCTTGAGTTCCTGTTTCCATGTTCACCCAAATATATATATATTTGGGTGAACTCATATATGTATATATGAGTTGTGCGAGGATTTGGCTCTCACTTTTTAATAATGGACCTTATCTGAACTCTTTTAACATACACCTAACGCCCTGTCCTTTTAACTGTTAGACCTCGGGTCTTACGTTATGTTGCGTTATTGCATTACGCACACTTGAACGTGAGTTTATCTCTTTTGGATCCTCCTACCTGACATCAAATATATCGTTTATGCCTGTTTGACAGACAATGAAGCTTTTACCTACCGGACGTAAGAGCTCAATATACATCCTTTTATACGGCTCTTTGGTAAGTTTTTGTTATCATAAATATATGTCGACAGGTCCGTTGCTGTAATGAGGAATTTATTTTATGTTCGAGAAAGCAGTACTTTGATGTTTTCCACGAAGTATGTGGATTGTTTGGTGAAACAAAGCCATTAAATGTTTGCATTGCTGTATTTTCAGGTCGGCCTGGGGACGGTGGTGGTCAGTTACTTTGGTAGCCTTGTTTCTTCTGTACTGTTGGAGCTTGGTTTCAGTGAAGATATGTACAATCCTGTATGTAATCAGCTCCCTCACTTAAGGCTTTTCTTTTTCATTTTTCACTTAAGTGGCTCATCTGCCTGTCTGATCAATTTGCAGAGTTTAGTGTAAAGTGTGTGAAGCTATGTAGGTGTCACTTTGACAGCTTCATCGACATTTTGCTTGGTAGTGTTTTCCTTCCTTTCTCTCTTTTTCTGAGTTTTGCTTTGGCTGTGTAGATGGCTGTTTTTCTTGGAGTGGGAATTGCACTCCTCGGGGCGTGGCTGGGCTACTGGGGTGTCCGGAAGCTTGTAATCGCAGAAGATGGAAGCATTGACGATGGAACGTCAAAATTTGTAAAGTGGGCAATACGCGTGTTCGGCTCTGTCAGCCTTCTCCAGGTATGTTGAAGGTGATATGCTCAAGGTTTGCCGCTATATGTTTCTGTTGTCCTTTTGCCCTGGCTTCTCAGTAAAATAATGTTTAATATATAGAAGTAACAATTGCCTTTGATTGAGCAACATGCATTTGCTGTGAACACTCACACGATACTTTCTGTTGCAGAGCTCGAAAGACCCGGTATTTATGCTTCTGGCTTTTGTGGGAGGAGCAGCCGTGGCATACGTTGTATTAAACGCGAAGATATGTGTCAGTGAATTTTTTGACTACGTGCAAGACAATTGGTACTCAGAGTAAGTCTTTCCTTCGATTGTCCCTTCTTCATCGTAGGTTGACTTTGAAAGTGCAAAGACGAATTTGAATTTTGAGACCTATTCTCTGTTCTTCCGATTTTAAAACTACATTTAGTATGTGTACAGTAAAGTCGGTCATGCTTGCTTTGCTAACTAGTGCGTTTGATGCCTTTGCAGGCCTTTGATAGGAAAAGGTGTTTCTTTTCAGTCACCTCGTAAAGAGAGGAAACACTACATGACACAGGCGCAGATGGATGCTCTTCGGAGATTGCCAGGCACGGACTCTTTAGTCGCTGGTGCACAGCTGGTCAGTAATAATGCGCAACTTTCGGAGGGATCAACACCAGGTTTCAGCTCCGAACCCTACAAATATTGCGCCCGTTTGCTGGAGTTTGTGTTTCAGGCTTGATTGTGTTTCATCAATTGGATGAAAGAGGAAATAATTTAAAACCTCCATTGTTGTGGTCTGTATGTCAGGGCGCAGAAGAAAACAATTGACGAAGCCTACAGCGGACGAAGAAGCGTTTGTTTCTACATTTCACAAGTCACCAGGACACAAGCCAATGAGCAAACAGGAGTACGAAGAGATCTCCAAAGAATACACATTGAAAGCAGTGAAAGATCTGGAAAATTCAAGGGAGTTTAGAGATTGGAAAAATTCCAACACGCATAGGTTCTTTGTAGCCCCACACGAACATAGAGAGGAGAGGCATGAAGCCGAGATTGCCCTCACTGCCAACCTTGCAGAGGCCAAACCCGAAGGAGGATTTTTTGGCCACAGAAGACGGTAGATCACTGTTCCACGTGCATGTAACATATCTTGATCTTAAACCCCAGTTATTGGGGAAGCCTCCAAGTTATACTTCCAGCAGATTGCACATATTGTCTAGATAGATCAAGTCCTTGCACTACGCAGATCTCATTGTGGTCAGTCATTCTGCCTGAAAGTGAGTTCTTCCTATACACTGCCGAGAAATGTTTGGTAGCAGAGTTAATTAGCGTTTACGGTGATCCTTCTACTCGAAACCCCGTTCTGTTCCCAGATAGTTCATTGATTAGAAATGTTAGATAGCACAGTTATCTGGCGGTCAATGACGCGAATGTTAACAGAATCCGTCGAATTTTTTTATTCCCAAGAATCTTTTGTTGAAATCATACACTCATCACCGTGCGTTCGTCCTTTCGGATTCGGCTATTGACAGCATTGCCTTCCTTGTGACACATTTCAAATTTATCTGCGTCATCGCCTCTGTTTTGATGCACTTCCCAACCTTTAGGAAACTTGCAAGTTTCCTAAAGATTGAGAAGCCGGCGTGTTGAGAGATGTTTAAAGTTCAAAAACTAAGCACTATTACGGTGCACCTTACATCGTATATGTCATAGAACAAAGAATCACGTAATATGCGCAGCAGATGCGCTCCGAACATAGAACGAATTGCCGTGAACGTGCACACTCCGAACAGATACAAGCTAAGATTATCAAACTTCCGCAAAGAAAATGTCTCCACACGAACACAGTCAGATAATCAATAAGCGTACGACTCGAGGATGGGATATCCAGCTTTTTGATATGAGAATCTATCCCTGTCAAGAGCTGACCGTAACTGAGTCAATGAAGTTAGATATTGTATAAGCTACTTCAACAATTTCTAAGGTGCTTTAAGTCGCATGATTTTCAATTGAACGATGCTATGACGTCGATATCTCACCTAACATTGTGTAGCTCTCGCCCAACTGATGTTCTGATCTTCATTTCCATTGCCAACACATGGCATAAGTCGGGAAAGATTAGCCACTGGAAAGTCATTCACAAGAGAGCAAACGACAGTGTGTTCCAAAAGTGACGAGACTCAACCAGTGATCAACCAGATACTCGTATACTCGTCTAGGTACGATGTCACATGCAGCCGTACAGGACGCAACACCACAACACGGCGCAAATCTCGTCACAGAGTCATCAGAAGCATATGCTCAGAAAGCTTTGGCGGCTTCACAGATGGTCATCAGACTCTGACTCGAGATTTTCGTACTAGCTAGAAAGCGAACCTCCATACGTCACATGTGGACAGAGGATGTGGGTTTCGTGCGTGGAGGAACACTGAGAACTGAGATCACGCCCAAGCTCAGCTGCTGATGGACTCGGAAAGGTCCAGTGGCACAATAGTCATAGCTTGTGACAGAGCCAAATAGATAGGATGATATCCCTCACACATCGCAGTGAGTAAGGAATTCATGGATATCTCAAACACCTGGCACAGATGTTATTCCATGGTGCCTCCTGCCTGAACAAAAAGTTGGCATTCCGAAATACTCTCGTCTTTGATTCTTGAATTCCGATATGACGTCTGCTCGTGGCGAGCAGAGTAGAGCAGAGCTAGGCAGGCCCAAGGGCTACCAGACCAAAAGGCGGAATACAAACGAATCCACTCGAGATTCTTAGCCGCGAGTTTTTTTGTGGTGTGCAGAGGAACTCCATGGCTTTTGGGCATGAGCGGTTGCAGAAGCAGCCATTACACTGCGATGCGAGGAGGGTATGCCGGCTAAAATCGTGAAAACCATGTACACTAAGCTGATTTTCTCCGTTTAGCAAACAGCTCAGCACTTTATAATCATGATAAAAGCTTTGAATTCAATTCTTACTTTCCCATTTCTTGCGACTAGAGTGACCATGGAAGTGAGGCTGGCAAAATCTATACCGATGAAAATGATGAGTGGACTAGATAATTGGCTTTTCGAGCAGAAAGGAATCACCGTTTGTCGTGAATGTGTTGTTGCTTCGAGTTTCGACTCTCCAGTTGGACATGAGCCATGCGACCTTTCAAATATTTATGTGGATTTCGAAAGCAGAAAGCGTGGAGAGCATTATTTCCAATGAAAAAGAGTATTGCACACTTGCATCATTATGAGCAAGTGAGAATGGAATCATGACGCGTAGAGTTCTTATAGATGACTACAGCTCAGAGGTACAATACCGTCGGTCCAGAGATTGTCTATTGCACTAAGAAACACTGAGGTCTGCTTTCTTCCTGTTTCCATCTATCTAGGATTCAACAGGCCAGCATTGGCAGACTTTCTTTGAATTATATATCGAGCAGTTTGAAGCTCGCTCCTTTTTGCACCACAGAACTACCTTTTGACGGTTTTTGGTTGATTGTTTTGTCGGCAGCTCTGATATTATGGTGCTCATATCAACCTCAGTGAGAACCTAATATTCCTCGATCTTGAATTCCAATGTGGGCAACTGAACTGGTTTGGGCCCAGGCTCGCAAAGTTTGCAATCATAAGGTTTCGTGGCAAGTGACGGAATCGAGGCCGGTTTCAAAATCTTAGAGCCACCTTTTTCTCATGACTATCATGAAACAATTTGGACCCTTACTGGAACCGACTCACGAGCGAACATACATCATCTCCAACTTTTGAGATAGATCCCTGCAAGGATTGCTGGGCAGCAATGTGGGCCAAGCCAATGCTGATCAGTCATCTCCGTCCCTAGGCTCTTTGCGCAAGGCGGTGCCCTGTTACAAGTTACAGAGCCAGACATGACCGAAGATTAGACATTGGAAATGGACCAGGATTACTGCAATCTGAGCTCGGAGAGCAATTTTTACTCTGTGGTCAGAAAAGCTGGACTGAATTTCGTGATTAAATGCAGATTTGCAATTCATACATTCAGCAGAGCCCTTCCCCTTCCTTTCCTTTCCTTGACACGTACCTTCAGAGATAATGTCCATAACGAAAGATTTGAGGTGGATCCAAGCCGATTACATACATTTACAGAAGTCACGGTCTCAGAAGTGCACCTGTACGTTAATATTTTCAAGGTGCTACTGAGCGACGAACTTGTTCAACTAATTCTACGAGCAGGACGGCGGAGAAACCAATGGTGGTGTTCATCTACCGAAGGTGATGGTGTAACTACGGTGGCCATGGCATGCCATGCTGCCCGGGGAGAAAGTGAGGATGTGTGAAAGCGCAAGAAAATTTATGGTATGACTGCTAAAAAGCAACATTTTGCCACAGCTGGCGCAAGAAAAGCTGCTTCAGGGTGGGGATGGTGACCACCAACCAAAGGCTTTATCAAATTCTGACAGATTTTCTTGGAACTCCACGAGTCAGAAATCGCCGAAATGCATTATTCAATTTTACTCGAGAAGGTGACTCAAGAATTTGTATACCCCGACAGGGCTCGAAGGCCATACACATACTGTATTCATGTTGCAAAAGCCCTCTCCCGGAGATTCCATGCAAACGAGCATGCAGTGACGTTTAGACGCTTCCATCCAATCGTCACTGCATGTTCAATGTTCGTGTCTAGTAGTCCCAATTTTCTTCCCTCCCTCTCCTCACTTTTGTACACCTGCCCAGCCTACAGCGAGTACATTGGGCCCGGGGCACTTCTTTCCATCCAAGATCTATAGTTTCTGCCTGCCTGCCGAACTCTGTACAATGTGATAGAGACAGTGAAGTTTAATTGCCCTGATAAGGTCGAAGCCACATGAGATCTTCTGGAAGGAGAGCTATGACGTAAGCTTACGTCCATTTAGGACCACCTTGTGTTGTGTAAACAAGACTATGGCAATTTTACAAAGCTCGGTGGATTGGTGATCCAAACTTCTTCATAACTATACTACTACTACTACTACTACTCTTTTGCTTCGATTAGAAGCCCTCCCTTCACGTAAATTCTGTCAGACTTGTTGGAGGTTGCCGACGAAGAAAAGTGCCCCAAAAGCAGCCACAACTTTCGAGCTCTATCTTCAATCTGTATCCGATGAACAGTTGATAGGAGACCGAAATCAATGTGTTGCTCACCACCGACCCAGCTCTGTTAACAGCTCCCAGGCTCCTATCACGAGGTCGCTTCTTCTTGAGAAGGGAGGAGAACAATGAACATGAGCATGCAAAGTTTTAAACCCCATCGCTCATGGGGTTGTAAAGTTGCCACCATCTTCGTCTCAACTCTGTTCACGTGCATGTGCGCGCAAGCTTTGGACAAGACTCCGATCGAGTGCCCGGCAGACCAGAGGCGACACTCGAGGAGGCGAGAGGACACGAAAGGACAGGAGGAGGGCGAGTTGGGAGCTTCGGCAGCATTGAGCACTTTTCCAAGCTCAAACAAAAGATGGAGACACGGGAATCAGGATGCCGGCTGTGCAGTGCATGGGTAAACTTGAGGTAACTTGGTCAACGTTTGTGGACCCCATGGGGTACAGCTGAGAGGTGATAATGGCTTTCGAAATCAGGCCTCATAGTAGGATGAGCTTGAAGTAGCGACCTCAAATCTCTGGGGCAAATCGCAATCCCTGAATGCCTTAGCGCCTGAGAGAGAGCCTACAGATGCAGTACCGAGAGGGTAGCATCTGCCACAATTGACGGAACATACCATTCTGAACCACCCTACTGCCTGCAGGTCGGAAGACGAGTTTCTGAGGCTCGTGGCAGACATATTAATGCTCGAAATTCCACTCCCACTGATACAGATAGCGAAGTGGACTTTCGGAACACCTGCAGCTCACATGCAACTTGCCGCCTGAAACTAGGATCATAGGAGCTGGTACAGACTAGCAGCATCTCTAGCATTCTGGACTCGGCTCTGACGATTGGAGGAACCCTTTTCTCCTGGTCTGATGCCAATCACACCACCAGTGTAAACTAGAGCTAGCTTGACGTTGCCAATGGGGGCGCTGTGCGCTGGCTGAGGCCTGGAAGCCGTAGACTGGAGCAGCTAGCTACCATTACAATGGCTTGAGTGATTATGTCGGGCGAGCTTCCTGCTTATTTACAAGTGGAGTGGATACGGTAATGGAGGGCTCCACATACAGTGAGCGATGCAGCTGGAAATTTCGAGGAATGACTTTGTTTGATGGTATTGTTTAAAAGAGTCTGCAGCATAGATTGATCGGTGAGACGAGGAGCTCTGGACGGTAAAAGGAGGTTGGATTCTCACGGCTCCAATTTCGGTACGAGAAGTACTCGAGTACTGAACATGCACCAAGGTTGGTTGACTCTTTATGACTTTGTGCAAGGCAAGCCAAGTCACGCAGTGGGAGCGAGCTAATTAGCTCTTGGGATCCCCAGAGCATATGATGGAGAGGAGGTTCCGACAGGCAGGCTCAACTCGCTCAAGGCAGCCGTAGTTGGCTGCCCAGCGAGTGTACGGGA